CGTAAATTTTGAGTTGGGGTGGGGAGCATTCGGTGAATATTAATATGGGTATTTTATTTACCTATTTAGGTCAAATTTTATTTCCCAAGATGAGTGAAATATAGTTTTATTTAGCATGATCGGTGAAGAACCCCATTCCCGTGACAAGAGCATATTGTTCAGACCAGTATATTTTAAATTTCCTTTGATCAGAGTCGCGGGCATGTGCACGCGGCTCAATTAGTTTATAGTAATCCCTCTTATCTTTAGACGCTCTTCTTATCTTTAAACTCGTAAACATTAAAGGTCTGGCACGCCGGTTTTAAGTATAAAGAAGGCTACGAAGCCAAATAAAATTCAGTTTGTGATTTTGTAAAGAAACAGTGGTGTTGCGTTGCTATTCTCTCTGAGCATAACTCAAGTCGGGAATCGTGTACCGAACCTTGGAACTTCACGTTTGCGTTAGAGCCCTTAGAAGTAATTTTATACCCGGGGGTATATTAAAGAACACAGTACAATATGCGGCTTTTAATACTTCAGCAACTCGTATTTTCTGTATTTTTAATGGGATATGAACAAATTTGTCACAATTTATTGTCGTCATTATTCATTTTCTAATACAGTGTGTGTTCTTAATGTTAAACCAATGTCAAAAGGTTTGCCCTTGGACGCATGGTACACGTACACTGAAAACCTGGATATCGTCGTTTAGACGCTTAACTTTACTTACTGTAAATTGAAAAAAAATAAAAATAAAAACAAAAACTGATAACCCACTGCTTTAAGAGTTCTTCCATGGCCAAAGCTTCATTTCAGTTTTTGATAGCATATTTAATCAATTAAACAGACAAAGTAGCTTAATAAATGGCCATTATATAAACCAATGCTTGGAAAATTAATAAATAAACCCGAACAGTTACCTATCGGTAGATACCTGTATAATCAAGATCAATGAAGGGACTTGTTTTGAGTAAATATAAACTTGAATGTTGTTCAATGAGTCTTAAGACATATCATGGCAGAGACAAGCCTTTGTAAGTGAATACATGCAAAGTTCATGAATATAAACACAGACATAAAGATAAATGGACTTTATTTAGAACGGCTCCTAAGGGTTTTCATTTTACACAACTGCTTGTCTATGCTTTCCTTGCAATAAAGGTATTATTACCAAATACTTATTACATGAGATCATTATAAAATACCTGTCTTAAATACTGGGAGAAGTATATGTGTGATAAACCCCCAACCAGCCTTTTATAATAAGGATCCCTGTGCAGAGCACAATGGGTTCATAGATTGAATATTCTATGTGTGCCAGGACATCGACCCGTGCACTGTCGCACAAATTACAGGAGTCGAGTGTATCACGTGAATCATAGCAAACAAGGGCAACATTTCCCTGCTGAATTTTGTTGCAAAGTGTGACTCTTTGTTCCTTATCAGGTTGTGAAGTATTGTCTTAACAGGGTACTGATAAAGAATTAGTGTCAAGTGAGGTGTTGGTATGACTGTCTGGCACACTGATGAGATAGGCCTTAGCAACGTGAAACACAGCCCTGAAGAGGTCATTCAGTAACCCGCGTGCTAGTACATTGTAACTACTAAAGACTAGGGTGCTGTTCATTTGCATGGGACGCAAATTTTGAGTTGGGGTGGGGAGCATTCGGTGAATATTAATATGGGTATTTTATTTACCTATTTAGGTCAAATTTTATTTCCCAAGATGAGTGAAATATAGTTTTATTTAGCATGATCGGTGAAGAACCCCATTCCCGTGACAAGAGCATATGCGGCTTTTAATACTTCAGCAACTCGTATTTTCTGTATTTTTAATGGGATATGAACAAATTTGTCACAATTTATTGTCGTCATTGTTCATTTTCTAATACAGTGTATGTTCTTAATGTGAGACCAATGTCAAAAGGTTTGCCCTTGGACGCATGGTACACGTACACTGAAAACCTGGATATCGTCGTTTAGACGCTTAACTTTACTTACTGTTAATTGAAAAAAAATAAATACAATGATTACATATAATTCATAATCAGCAATTGGAAATATATTGCTAGAAATATAAATAGGGCCTACAGAGGACCGGAGGAGATAAGATTGTGCCGCAGTGCGTCATAAGACGTGAAACTTATTTTTAGCTGGAAGAACACTGGAGTGGAGCCGTAAGTGCGAAGTTCAGTACCTTTTTCTGAAAAATATCAATATTCAAATGCTAGAAAGTGCACTTAATCTATTTTTGGTATATGTATATATAAAAGGGCATAAGAAGGTAACTATTACGGGGTACCGAACTGTTTGATAATTAAATAAAACAACAACCAAAAAAGAAAAAAAAAAGAAAACTGTGTACGTAACATACTACAAAGAGGTTATGAGAGGGCATTTCTGCTTCCTCCATACCCATTCTGGTTTATTGGTAATCAGCCAAATGGCTTCTTGAAACACGCTTTGCTCACGTTCTGTTAGGTTTGGTCATATGTAATTTGAAAATATAATGATTAGTGTAGAGTAAAATAAAAACTGCAAAAATCACTCAGCGTATCTCAATTGAGCAAGGGCAATCAACTATTAAGCTACATTATGTAGATTTAAAGGTATGGGTTAATACAATTAAAGCACACGCGTTCCAATTACTATTGACATACATATATCACTCGATATTGCACCCAACGCTAAATCACTTTTAGTTTAAAAAAACATGAAGTATGTGCATACTTAACATATGAGGATAAGGAGAATCGTAACATCCGTCTCTTGCTACACAGACGTCACTATTTTCAGAATCGTCGTAAATCAGACATTCACGTATGTTAAGTATCTTTCAATAGCGGAAAGGTCTTTCTGGGGAGCATAACAGCAGTGAACGTCAAACTGAGGAGAAAAATAAACTCACTCTGTCCTCTTGCAACACTGTTAACTCTTGATGGCTGGGCGTGCAACGCTAGCAGCAAATCCAGCAATCGCCACGAGAGTGCCAACGTTTCTTGGAATCCATTCCCATATGCTCACTATCGCGTTCCTGATTGTCAGACGCCAGCTTTCATGGGTGCACCTCGCATTACCATGCCCCTCTCGTGAGATGTTAACGACGAATTTGTTGCCTCGATCCCCAGCGTACAAAACTGCAAAGAGGTTATCACCATGGAGAGATATTTCTGCATTCTTCCATACCCATCTTGGTTTATCGGTAATCAGGTCAATGGCTGCTTGTAACACATTATGGTCACGTTCTGTAAGGTTGCTTTCACTTTCCTTTAATTTTTGGACGTCGAGGGGAGAAATATGTGTTCTACATTCCACATGGCTCTACATGAAATAAAAATATATTATTCATATCAAAAACAGACGAACGCCAAGAAAGAGATAACCTACCCCGCTTCTCTTACATGCTTCTGTACTTTGATTTTTTTTCATGGTTAATCCTAACTTCTTTCACTGGAATGAGCCCAGTTATGCCCCTATTTCACACAGACCACGAATCCCACGAATCGCCATGAATTGACAAATTTCAGGATTCGTGGCTGAATCGTAATCAGTTCGTAAAGTTCTTCACAGATTCTTATATATTCGTAGTCAGTTCTTGCAATTCTTGACCAACAGGAATTCGTGGCAAAAATTTTGATGCCCCTATTTCACACAGACCACGAATCCCACGAATAGCCAAGATTTGACAAATTTCAGGATTCGTAATCAGTTCGTGAAGTTCTTAACAGATAATATAATCGTAGTCAGTTCTTCAATTCTTGATCAAACGGAAATTCGTGGCAAACATTTTGAGCTGTTCAAAATTTTGGCCACGAACTCCCGATTCCAAAAAATCGTAGTGAATTTCTGGACAATATTCGAGCGATTCCAGCCGAATCCCACGAATATTCGTAACACTATCGCACCTGTATCGTAACTGAATCGTAGAGAGTGTCGAGTTAGACCAGAAAATTGGCAAAATCTCACGAATCCTGAAATTTGTCAATTCCTGGCGATTCGTGGGATTCGTGGTCTGTGTGAAATAGGGGGAATAATGCTCACATTTGTTAACAAGTATGATGGTGAGGGAGATGGATAAATTATTCATATAAAAACAGACGAACGTCAAGAAAAAAGCCGGTGTGTCCTTGTGAACAGACATCAACACTCACATCGTAACGAAAACGATTGAAGAAAGAAAAAAAAAACGCTCACCTCGCTACTCTCCGGTTCTTCTGTGCTTTGATTATTTCCCATGCTTAACCCCAACTTGTCTCACAGGAATAAGCTGTAAAAGCTCACGTTTATTAACAAGTTTGTTGATGAAGGGGGTACGCTGAAAGTCTAATGTTCGGTCTTTTTAAGAATGCTTAGAATGCTTAGATGCTGCTGTGCTTTCCAAGCAAACCCCCTCCCCCCCGATCAACAAGGACGTTGAAATGTATGACATATAAAACGCACCAATCAATTTGAATTTTGAATCGCATTATATGATTGTGCATCACCTTATAAGGTGTGGTTCGTGACGTGATGATAAGCTGACCCCGAGACCAGTTGTTGAGGAATAGGAGGTTTTGTACTATCTTAATATAACTATTAAGTTCAAGATGATTAATGCGCAATATACAACGACATGATTTCCTCACAGGAAAAAAATCTCAAAAAATCCCATTTCTTCGGCTACAATATATGAACTGCGCATCTCGCCCTCTGCTACTGAGTCATGACTTATCTAACATGTACGTGACGCATGCGCAACACTTTATTGCTTTTGATTATGAAAATTGAATATTGAATGCAGGGTATTTTGCATAGATAGTACCTAAGTAACGATGATATGTGGAAATTCCTGTGCATGTAGCATGCAACGAATATGCTGTTTTTGTCTTTGATGATTCAACAATTACTTGCGATACCCTACCGAGGCTTAATCCTCTTATTGACATATGGGAAGGAGAATACAAAGAGAATAGAAGGGCGTTCTTTAGTAAGAATTAACTCAATCGGTCTCAACCTGAGTCTTAATTCGGTTAGAACACACGATGGGGAACGTTTACTCTCTTAAAGCCGACGAAGATAAACCCTCTAAGGACCACAAAGATAAAGCTTCTGAAGACAACGTAGATAAACCTTCCGAAGACAACGAAGAAAAGCCTTCTGAAGAAACTAAAGATATAACTTCTGAAGACACGGAAGATATCCCTTCTGAAGACACCAAAGATAACCCTTCTTCAGACAACGAAGATAAACCTTCTGAAGAAACTAAAGATATAACTTATGAAGACACGGAAGATAAGCCTTCCGAAGACACCGAAGATAAACCTTCTGAAGAAACTGAAGACAACCCTTCTGAAGACACCGAAGATAAACCTTCTGAAGACACCGAAATTGTAACTTCTGAAGACAACGAAGATAAACCTTCCGAAGACAACAAAGATATAACTTCTGAAGACAACGAAGATAAACCATCTGAATCCACCGAAGATAAACCTTCTGAAGAGACTGGAGATATAACTCCTAAAGTCAATGAAAATAAACCTTCTTCAGACGTCGGAGATAAACCTTCCCAAAACACCGAAAATAAACCATCTGAATCCACCGAAGATAAACCTTCTCATGGCCAGAAATGTGCAGCATTCACGCGGTACGCGAGGGCGCTACAGTAGGGCTTCACCTGACTCAACTAGCCAATCACAGCGCAACAATGGCATCGCACACAGACTCTGTGATAAGTGCTCAGCCCATTGTCAAGTAGTGCTAGTTCATGGTAACAAGCGTCTGACATGTGCAGAGAAGTTTATTGTAATATATATTGTTCTTATTGTTACATTATTAAATCTAACTCTGTATCCAAGTAGCAACTATACTGTACCAGGTCAGGTACTGATGATGTGCAGAGGTCATATATTCCAGAATAAGCCATTACCACTAATTTATAACTTTAATTTTGTTTAATATGTTATTCATGAAAGAGTTCATGAAATATTATTTTAATTTGTTAAATCGTGATCTTATTCTTTTTATATTCAAATAATTGAATAATGTGGGTAAAATTGGTCTTCCACTTCTTATTTGCATTTTCCTTTACTACAAGATTATTTTGGAACAGTTGCAGCATTAAAATTTAAAATAAATAGCAATCTGAAAGAAGAATTTTGCATTATTATTAAATGATGATAGCAATTTTGGATTAGGAGATTAGTTAAATACTGAGTAGTGACATTGTCAGTCAATTGTGTAGAATCTGATAATATGATTGAAAATACTGATTGAATTCTTGGCCTTGCACTGGGCAGTTTCACATTTGTGCCAAGTGCTTTTTTTTTGGACCCCATTGTACAGTGGTAAAAGTTCTTCAATTGCCATGAAAGTTTTTAATCAGACTCTGTATGGTGCTGCTATCTGCTGGTGCTATCGGCAACGAATTAGTTTGCCTTTGTTTCTGAGTGAATCTACCGTCTAAAATCACTATTTCTGAAAATATGTGCGTTTTGCTGAGGGTAGGCTAGGCAATACACGGCAAACTTCTTAGTACGTGTGTACAACAGAATTTTTTTAAAAACCTTAGCGATATTTGGTCAGGAGTTGCTTGAAGCATAGCACAGCATTGCTGTCTATCGGCATCAGGCCGTTAGTTTGTCAATTATCACGAATTACCCACGAATCGCGAACCTAGTCATTTTCCTATGGCAATCTAGCACCTCATTAAAAGTGCACGCATGCGCAGTGGGCTAAGCGTGACGTCATGCAGTGCATTTCTGGGGATGGAAGACAACGAAGATAAACCTTCCGAATACAACGAAGATAAACCATCTGAATCCACCGAAGATAAACCTTCTGAAGACACTGAAGATAAACCTTCTGAAGACAACGAAGATAAACCTTCTGAACACAACGAAGATAAACCTTCTGAAGACACCGAAAATAAACCTTCCGAAGACACCGAAGATAAACCTTCTGAACACACTGAAGATAAACCTTCTGAAGACAACAAAGATATAACTTCTGAAGACAACGAAGATAAACCTTCTGAAGACACCGAAGATAAACCTGCTGAAGACAACGAAGAAAAGCCTTCTGAAGAAACTAAAGATATAACTTTTGAAGACACGGAAGATAAGCCTTCCGAAGACACCAAAGATAAACCTGCTGAAGACANGTCTGTGTGAAATAGGGGCATAATGAGAGTATGCCGGCTCGACCAGCTTTTGAAGAAAATATATATAATTTCTTCCTGCAAAAACTCTTTTTTTTTTTTTTTTTTTTTCGTGCAACCTTAGTTTCACGCCCAGTATTAATACGCCCAATATTACATCTACTACCATAATGCAAAGCAGCCCTCTACAGGCCTACCCAACTACCAGACTCGGCACTTTACGGATCCAGAATAAACCGGTATATCAGGCCACACTACCCGTTTTCAAGGTGTGTGTCAGATCGCTTTACAGAGTATCATACCCCATCACAAATTTTGTAAGCCTACCTGTCATCCGGGTATCGCGCCTCGTTTTCGTCAAGTAGGAGTCGTATGAATACAACAACATGGAAATCGGCAATCCTCGGCTCATTCCGCAAGCTCCATACTATTGTCGAGTGCGGAGACATCGGAGTAGTTCCGAGTGACAACATGGCGACAGACCGACTCACTGAATCTCGTCCAGAAAATATTTAACCCCCGACAGAATATGCTTCCACTATCAAAATTAGATTTACTTTTCTAAATGAATATATAAGTTTACAAGTTCTTATTTACAAAACATCATTGGCTATGTTCGAACCTAAATTTTATGTCAAAAATTGCGGTATTGTCAGATTTTTAGCATAAACAGGGAAAATTGCAGCAGCGCATGAATCTAGATGAGATGCACTACTTTCCAACCCCGCTTTAGACCACGGTGGAAGTGAAGAACAAAAGATTCAGACGTGGTGTAACTCGCATAACCGCACGTCTCGCATGAATGCGTTATAACCCGCTAATGGACCCGTGGTCTAAATAAGATAGATCCCTCGTCAGCGAGGGTAATGTGACATCCACTCGTGCTTCGCACCCGTGTATGCCACATAACCCCCGCTGACTCGGGGTCTATCTATTACTAGGATCATCGCTATCACATCGCGCACCAGGCAAAAACGGTGTGGTGGCTGATACTCTGTAATGCGATCTGACACACACCTTGAAAACGGGTAGTGTGGTCTGATATACCGGTTTATTCTGGATCCGTAGGTGCCGAGTCTGGTAGTTGGGTAGGCATTAATTAAGAAGAGCTATACCTATCCCAATCATCAGAAGACCAGAAGCCATAAACGAGTTCATTCGCATTTCACACGGATTCGATGCCATGGGGAAATAGTTGCATGTTTATTGGTAGCTGGAAGAACGGCTGGAGGTTGCATTGACAAATGTCATGTTCGTTGTGAGAACCGATCTTAACCATTTATGATCTTGGAACTTTGAAAGCTGTTTATTCTGAAACAATAAACATAAAATTGTCATTAACGGGTGAAATGCATATCCATTGTCAACACATTTTGAAAAAGCGCACGCAGGAGAGATAGAATTTAATGGAATTAAGTCAGGAAAGATGCAAAAACAATTATTACCATTAGGATTCTCTTTTCATCCACATCTACGTAGATCCTTGTATACAGTGGGAGTTGCTCCAATTTCAATACCGTATAAGAGCCATTCACATTGTTCAGACCATCCGTTGCAAACCTCTTAAAGGCTGATATATACAGCTTCACGCTATAAAAAATTGAAAGCATATTATTTTCTTTTTTAAATTTATATTTCATATCTATAAAAGCAGCCCAAATGCGTTTTATTTCACTAAGTTGAAACGGGTGAATAACAATAATGAACACACATAGCAAGTACTTGCGAGCTATAATATTACAGATATTACAAATATCATAAGCTGTTTACACACTCAATACCAAATTCTTCTTGGAAAAAAACTAATCCACTCTGAAGTAACACCTTGTTGCTAGCAAACTATGTCCAGAGCTGACGTGACCCCGTAGTGACAATGATTGATGTTGAGATTGGTAACCCTCGTTCAATTTTTTATTTCACGCCACATGTGGCCCTGTTCTCTTTACACACAACTAACTGTAATGTACCCCACCACAAGTGATTTTCTTCCCATGAAAAACCCAGGAATGTGATTTGTGGCAAAGTTTCTGCAGCACATGCAGAGGTCCCACGTTTCCAGTATACCCTCTCTGCCATCATTTAAAAAATCTTCTAGTACATGTGCTTGTTTTTTTTTTTTTTTTTTTTTTTACTATCCCTTCCAATTCATTTTGAACTTCAACCTCTGCCCAAACTTTTAGTAATGCCACCTGCTCCTCATGCATCCATGTGAACCTCCTATCTACAGGCGCCTCATAAAAATATGACATCTTTAATATGAGCAAATAAGACTTTCAACATTTTCAGAAAATACGATGTGCTGCTTTGCGAAGTCTAGGGATTTAAAAATTCGTATTTTAAATTAGCCCATTTGATGTGGAGGTTTCAGGCATAAACTAAGGTGCGTTTCGCCAATGATCGTCAATTGTGCGACGTGTACAACAAATTTTCTTAAAAATTCAAATTTTGCTCAATTCAGCTTCTAATATCCCCCCAAGAGGCAAGGGAAGAAAGCCCAGAGAGCAACGAAGAAGGATTGAGGAAGAAAAAAGAAGTGGAGGACAGGAGGCAAAACTGACGTACGCCGTAAGAACGTCATCACAAACGTGCGAGGCAAGCGTTACGCATTTGTAAGTGACGCAAGTCTGAAGTGTGAATTACTTTCGCCGTGCGTTGCATTATCTTCGTAAGTGGAGAGTACGTGCCGTGTGAGTGCTGCCGTTCTCTGTAAATGTCCCATACATTGTGCGCAGTAAAGAATTCAGTGTCCTTTGAAGTTAAAAAAAAAAAAACAATACTAAGAAAGGCTCCTAAACCGAAACTGGTCTGTTATTAGCCCAATAAACACAGTTTATTTCCCCTTTCCTCTGAGAAGTCTCAATTCGGGGGAAAATTTTAAATGGCTGCCGTTTCGAATGGTATTTCAGACTTAACATTAAGTATGGAATAATTTTTCCCAAAGATTTTATTTTTTAAACAGTGCAGAATTAAAAAAAGATAAATAACGCTTACCTTAAAGAATAGCGAGGATTTGATTTTTGATTACTCGTATGATTCATCATAGTATATCGGCCAATATCTCTAGCAATAAAACGTAAACCTGGTGCTCCTTTGCGCCGGACCCTGTGAAAATACAAAAACGAAAATGAAACAGGAGTTACAAGGATATTGTTGTTTGTGACTTCGAGTTGTGAATAGGTGACTTCGGGCGGTGACTTAGTACGTGTGAGTTCAGGTTCCTATTGTACATGTGCCAATACTGTCTGACAGTATTGCGTTATTTTCAGACTTCGAACAGCAAGTAAAAGCAATTACAACAAAATTAAACTATATTGGAAGCCATCTGGATAAGAAGGAAGAAACATACCATGAACAGAGATAAGGGAGCACATAAACTGCCCCTTGTGTATGACGATATTGTCAAACCCACCCCGGGAGGCAGGGGCGAGAGAAACTAACAAGTCATCATCAAGACTGAGGTAATTACCTGTTTACCTTCACCTGAACATGTAATTCAGTTGTAACAAAGTCTGTCAGAGTAAAGGGGAGTAAACAGAAGAAACAGGAAAACCAAATACACGTATGTGGATCTATCAAAAATAAAATCTTTTCAATATCAAAACTGAGATCCAATGGAACTATTTTCACATATATTTTATGGGACCTATATGTGAAATAGGCAACTTCATCGTTTTGCAAGGGACGCACTGGCACCCCTTTAGGATGTCCTAAGATGGTGCACGCCTCTCGTGACACTTGTCTTGGGAGGCTAGATAAGATCTTACATTTTTCATTAATAGGTAATGCTTTGATTAGAAATATAATGTAAAAATGGATATAAATAGGACTGGTGGTGGGTATTAGGAAGAACTTAGGCAGCGGGATTTAAACTCGTTGGATAACCACGACTCTTGTTGCTTGCTTCTTCTCGGTCGGTGAACAGGAAATCGAACCTTGCGGATTCATGGAGGGCATATTTTTAGTTCCGTTTTTCTGTTTGTTAGGAACATTTCGCAAAATGTTGCGGACGGATTTTGGTGTAATTTTCTGAACCTGTCAGAGAGGGTCCATAGAAAAAGTAATAATATTTTGGTCGTAAACGATTACATTATTATAAGTTAAATAATAAAGTCTCTTTGACTCTTAGCAATATTATGCGAAAAGTTATGGAGAGATTTTGATGAAGTTTTGATAGGTCAGAAATAGCCTAGATTTAAAATGATGATAAATCCTTTAATTGATAATGACAATTATACCAATCAATTAATTATGTAATTTATTTACTTATAATAAGAACTGAGTTAATTAATTAATAAATTACTCAATTGATAAATAGTTAACAATAAGAAGAATTGAGCTCTCTTGGCTATCTGCGCTCTCCGATTGCTTTTTTTTTTTTTTTTTTTTTTTTTTTNAAAAAGTGAAAAAACAGCATAAATTCCCTAAGAGTGACCCGATCATGCTGATTTTCGAACTTGACCTGCGCATTATGAATATTCATCAGTTCTGCAAGTTTCAAATCAAAAGGCAAAATGGTTTTCCACTTATCGTGTTATCGGTAAAAGTGCACGGCGACGGCGACGACGGCGACGACAGCGACGACGGCGACGACAGACGCAGATGATGGCTATATGTACAGACACATCTGTGTCTGTACATAATAAAGTCTCTTTGTCTCTTAGCAATATTATGCGAAAAGTTATGGAGAGATTTTGATGAAGTTTTGATAGGTCAGAAATAGCCTAGATTTAAAATGATGATAAATCCTTTAATTGATAATGACAATTATACCAATCAATTAATAATGTAATTTATTTACTTATAATAAGAACTGAGTTAATTAATTAATAAATTACTCCATTGATAAATAGTTAACAATAAGAAGAATTGAGCTCTCTTGGCTATCTGCGCTCTCCGATTGCTTTTTTTTTTTTTTTTTTTTTGTTATCTATCAAATGGCACCGAAAGCAGACAAATGGATCAAGGCAAACTTAAAATCCTAATAGAAAAATTGTTATTACCGAAATGACATGTCATCATCCTCCGCACCCCAACCGAAGTAAACATTGGGAAAGCCGTTAACTAGGCGCATATGCTTTTTGGTCAGCGAAGTCACACCTCCAAACTGGTTTGGATAAACGGGTCTGAAGAAAATCAAAAGCATGCACTTGGTAAAAATACCTTAATAAATTGTGAAGAATTATGACAACAAACGGTTGTTTAATATATTGATCAAGTCCTAGAAATTGATAAAGTCAAGTTATCAAAAGTTGCTATTTAACTATGAGAAATGGCCTCACACACGGCAAAGTGTCAGTCAATGACAAAATACAAAAAATAGTAACCGGGTAGGAAAACTCTTTTAACTTGGTAAAATGAATGTGAATATACATGTTTTTATAATAGGAACCTGTCACCAAATTGATAGGCCCATAGAGAGATGAATCAAGCTTTTTTTTGGCTAAGGCACTTGCCACATTATTTGACCGTTTTATGGCTGATACTATCCTTCATAACCGTTATGCAGCGGAACTACAATAGCCTACCTATAATTATACTTGTCTATTGCAACTGACATGTGCGTTGGTTTCTCCGTGCAAGTGTACATATTTAATTCGTTTTCAGCTAGAAGGTCCACATCATGGAAAATAAAGCAATCATAATCCTCTATTTTTCCAGCTTCCACAAACCCTATATTCATCAGCATGGCGCGATTGAAAAGAGTCCTTACGTGCTGTAATAATAATAATAATAATAATAATAATAATAATAATAATAATAAGTATTATCATTATTATTATCATAGTGATAAAAACGTATGACCACTGTATTGTGACTTGAACACTCACTCGGAAAACACTTTTGATGCAATTTATGGTGGTAGTATGCAAAATTAAACGATTCCTTTGGTTCATACAAATTCCAAGTTTTGTGGTACTTTAAGACCCCATTCCCATAGATTTTAGATCGATCTATCCCTGTGGGGAGTCTCACTAGATTACTGTCAGCTTAGCCGGCTTAAGCGTCTGTCCCGCCGACTAAAAGCTGTAAGAGGATAATTAACTATGGTGCGCGCACGGCTGACTGCAATTTAGCGTGAACCCCCAGGGAGTTAGATCGATCTAAATCTTAATCTCTGGATCGATTTAAATCTCTGGGAATGCACCCTAAAATACGATTGGCCACCTACCTGGTCTACTACGTATATTCCGTAATGCAATTTCTGCTTCTGTAACATTGGATGCATGTTGTTCAGAAATATCCTCAGATGTTCTTCTCTGTCTCTGAATGGAATGATGACGGCCACGTGAGTTTGGGGAACGCAGTCAAGGGGCTTCCATCGTCCTCCGGCAATTACACCAAGGCAGCGAAATTTGTTTTCCAGTCCTTCCCAAGATAATGGTTTAAGATTGAGCTTCCTTCGGCTTACTTTTCCAAAAAGTAAAAATTGTGTTTAAAAATTATTTATTTATTTATTTATTATTATATTGTAAAAGTGTTCAAACGGGCACTCTATACAATAGCCAGGGTTTAGAATGCCTAGTTGAAATAATATCATCAACATACCTGATGAACATTACTTATTTTAATAGTATTAAATTACTATTGAATAACCATCACTTTAAGAACTCATTGAAAAACGTTAAAATAACACTTTGAATTTCGTCGCCATTATTTGCCTTTTACACAAGTTTACCGACTATGTTAGATATTTATCTTTGCATGTTTCACTCCTTTGATGCTGAGAACCTGTTAAGAGGCAGGATGGCTCACCAAGACCAGCTGGTATTGCTTCACATCTTCTATCCAACCTTGGACTGGCTTCATAAGGGAGGTAGACAGCTGTGTAGAGTCTATGCGCGAGAGATCTGACGCTCGGTGTAGACGTTGGGTTTCTGGTGGTCGCTGTTGACGTAGGTATTTTGGCGGTCCCTTCAGAGGCAAACGTCCCGTTCTTGATTGTGAATGTTCTAGAATTTGCGTTCTTCGCGTTCTTCTCAGTAGGACTAGCTGTTGCTGATGATGCAAACTTCAAAGTTGCGAAAGATGACGTAATAGTTCCATTTTGTGGGGGTAAAGCCACTCGGCCAGAGTCATGGCCGCGGTATGGTATGCTCATCTTCCTTTGAGATGGACTTAGAAGAACGTACCATACCACGCTTAAAACAAGTGCGGTAAAAAAGAAGCTCAGCTTTTTACCCAGCCGTTTACTACCAGTATACTTAATGATTCCAATTCTGTCTGTTCGAAATTTCATAGTGAATCGCGTTATTACTTTGCTAGATAAAAACACTAAATCGTCACAACTTGCTCGCATATACGAGGTTGAACACACTAATTAATGTACGAGGTGGAACTTGGCCCCTTAAAGGATGATTGCGTAAAACTGAATTTTATGGGCACGAATGCAGTTTTAACTTTTATATTAACATATCAGCAGCCGCGAGCACAGCATCAATAAAACTGTTAATCACGCAAGCTAGTAAACTATTCAATATTGGAGACAGTCAGACATTCAGCATATAATACTGGTTGCTGCTTCTCTAGTGAAAATGAGCTGGTCGATTCCAGATGAAAGAGAAAAGTACCCAATTGTAATACCTCAGCTTAATTTGGTAGCATAAGACTTTGTATTTTCTTAAAATCGGCATAAACAAATATCTTTGCATAGCAAATTAATTTTTAAATAAAATTTTGGCCTGGTTAATTTTGAAATAACACGAAAGGTAAAGTCCAAGAGCACATTTCTGATATTTGAAATCATCACATATCACTATCACTTTGATTTCTATAGTAACTTTTCCAGTAATCATTTCAATTAGTGAGATATTGAGCAAGTTATTTTCTAAACATGCTGGGCAAAGATGGGAAAATAGTAAATCCTTTCGAAAAAGGGTCAAACAGGTTCTGTTAGGCCTATTACTGTGAACATACAGATAATGAAACTACACAGGGCCTCATGCACAATAAAACGGGGGCCAAAAAGTGCTATTCGAAATTGACTTGTATTTCAATTAAATAAATCAATCCAGTAAATCTGAGGAAAAAAGGCACACAGTTGTCCATTTAGTGTTACTGGTGCACAGCAGAAACAACAACAGATGGTGATGGTTATATTTACACGAAGACACTGGATCAGTTTTGATATATACTAGTACGATATGTTATTAAAACAGAGAGTTATATTAAAACAGACATTTTATTTATAGCAATAACAGAAATGACCAGAGAAAAAAAACACCTTAATGATCTGAAAAGAACTTAAATGCTATGGTGTAGCTAAAGAGCAAATATATCACAACCAAGCTAAAATGATTTGTTGTAAACAATACAATGTCGCTTACTTAAAACAATTTAATTTTAAAATCCTTATTTCAGTTGAAATGTATTCAATGGATATTTTCTCATTAAAAGAGCAGTCATGTTCAGACTAGATTTAATTAGTAGAAAATAATGATCAGTAATATGGCAAATAATTCCCTACTGACTATAACCTAACTTACAGGAAAAATTAATTATAAATATATACAAAAAAGTAAAGGGAGAAGCAAAGGTGTTTAGGGAATAAAGAAGTTCAAGTAAGGGGGGAAAATACATCACAACTTGTTCAAATATGGCAAAGTTAATGCTCTCCATATTCAAAATATTTGGCTTGATGTTTTACCAGCACATTATAAACTCCATTTTATTACATGAAATTATAGTATACCATTACAATAAATGAAAATAGTTTATCCTTAGCAGAGTGTGTCAGTTGAAATGAAGTTAAAAAGGTGTCTGAACTTAACAAGTGGATTTGAGAGACAAAATGGCAACAGCATGGGATGGTGAACATACTGTTTCTCACAAGCATAAATCTGCCTGATTAAAAATAAACTGTGAAGAAGTACTGGTATATTGGTCAAGGGATAAAAGCACCATTCTACTTGAAAGCACCAACATCTACTGCCATGCAAGGTGGATGCCAGGGTTAAAAATATACATATATATATATATATATTATAATATATACACAACATATAAACTCTCTCATAAATATTGCACAACTAAATTTGAAATAAAAGATAATGTTCTATGCAATTCATTCATCTTTTTATAACAATACAAAAACTGACTATATTATATTGTATAAAATAATGTTTAACAGCAGATGCTTTACACCTTTGTGTAGTGCACTGGCAAATGTACAGTGACTTCAAAGACAGCATCCTGCAATATCTTGGCAAACTTATAAATTCAATATGGTAATTGACCAATAAAATCTTTAAAATCTTTTCCTCTCCTTTACTGTTCTTCTAAAATGTTGATACTTAAGGCACAAAAATATCTGATGTCACAAGCTTTGAAGGCGAATGAAGGTGATGAATCTGCACTTTAGACAAAACAGTTTTAATTATTGCTCACAGAGCTAAATCAAACAACTGTTTCATTCAAATCCACTCTTGCATCTATTTTACCATGCATCAGCTGTTATAGACATGATCAATTCACTAAGTTTCTCACAGTGATGGTTTCAAAAAATATTGTAACCAAGAGGACTGAGTTGCATTATTGCTCAGCTTTTCCTTGGTTGGCCTCATGTGAGCGAAGTGTTCTGTACATCATTTGAACATAGCAGAATACACATTTCCAATCTGGTGTCTTCATGCGGACCATATCTTCTACATCCAATAATGGAGAAATATCTGCCAGTTTTCTGAAAAAAAAATCATGTAGTATGTTTATGTTAAACTACCGAAAAAATGTGCCGTTTTTTTAAGGGGCACACACACAACAGAGAGAGAGAGAGAGGGAAAGGGTGCCTTCCTCAGGCAATACATATTTCACATTAATTGCTCATTTTTTAATTTAAGCTTTTCTTTTCATTTTGCATTTCTGAGAACCAAATTTACCAGACACAATCCATTAAAACAGATTTTTTCATGGTATGGCATTCAGTAAGAAGTAAAAATATTGTATGTGGAGCAAATATTTATTTCTAAAATTATTCAAGCATTCTTTCTTCACATACTTCAAGCAAAACCACTTCATACTGAAGGGCAGGAACAGGCGAGTAAAAGGTTGTTTGTGCATCATATGAATTCTGACCAACAATCAGAACTTACTTTATTGATTACTTTTTTCAAGTTTTTGTTTCATGTATTTACCTATTATAGTAGACAAAAGAAAAGAGAGAGAGAGAGAGAGAGAGAGAGAGAGAGGGAGAGGAAGAGAGAAAGACAGATTCTTAAACACAAGTTTTCATCCATAACTGGATATCTTTATTCCTCTGATAGATGTACTAATACATAACACCATAGCAGTGAATATGATTAAGGTATTCTGCAATATCTTGGTAAACCTAGCTTTTTGAAATTTTTGTTGTCCTCTTTTTCAATATCAATTCTTTAAAGCACGAAATTATATATAATATATAAATATATCTACCTTTAACATAATATATATACACTTTATATTAAAGAAAATCTAAAAATAGATTTTCAAGGGGACTCATAACTTTGACAGAAGATTGGGCTATTGGTCATTGATGAATTTCAAACAATATAATCTAGTTAAACTACAAAACTTACCAACAGTCAGTTTACCATATGCAAGAATTAGCAAGAAAATTAAAGAAACTCGAACCAAAGAGAATCCAATTAAGAAAGCAATTTGAACTGGTTTGGGTCAAAATCCCAACAACCAAAGAAAACAGTGGATGACAAATATTTTCATATGGTCAATGCTAATATAAGGTTAAGAAATCAAAATATACTTGACAATGTAACAGACATCAAATTACAATTTACCAATGCAAAACCACCCTTTTTAACCAGAACCTGCTATGCATTAACTGTACATGTACCATAAAAACAAACAAAACTTATTACTCACACTTTTTAGGTAAAGAGAGGACTCAGCAATGCCAGGATTAATGGTGACAAAAAGAAAAAGAAAACTTAAGTAACATTTAATTTATGGATATCACTGTTCCATCAAAAACAAGAAAATATTTTGAAAATATAACTTTCAAGAGAGAAAGAAAATGGTGTTGGCATGATATTGTAATAATTTTATATTTGTACAATCTGAGGATGAGGCAGAGATATTTATCTGGTATTACTTCTTTGATTTTATCTTGATCAAACCAAGTTCATTTAGTCCTTTATAAACACTCTGGATATAGGTGAAGACACACTTCCAGTCTGGATTCTCCATACGCACCATATCTTCAACATCTAATAGTGGAGCAATGTCAGCTTTTTGCCTGAAATAATAAGACATTTTAGTCTACTTCTCCATAAAGTAATACATGCAGTTATTTCAGGACGTATGAGTATTACAAAACATTTATATGAATTTACCACCTTTTCGTATTACTATCATATCATCATCATTTGTGGAGGAATAAACTGCAGCTACAAAATTTTAAGTATTATATAGGATGGGTATGTTTAATATGTAAACATGCAAATGAAGCATTATAATCAGGATATAACATGGTAGTCATAATTTGTCACCTTTCAGGCATTCTTTAGTTTAAAAGTAAACTCAGTTATGTTTAATGCTTAAGCAAAATGTTATATCAGAGTTTACCTTCTTGGTCCAGCAGTCTTGGGTACATAGGGACTGAAGCATCTCATTCCCCTCAAAACCACTGCCAGTGTCTTAGTAGTTGTAATAGTAACCATGCAATAAAATATCCGCTCTCCAATATAAAAAATACCACATCAAGCTGCATGTATAAATGGGATCAGTCCAGAACCACAATGCATTCAGCAGCCACCAGAGGCATATTTATGGTTTTATGTCATATAAATAGTTATTATGTATTAGATACCCTCTTCATCCCATTATGTATTTTGACTCTATCAGTCCAGAATTCAAATTTAAGCAATTTCTCTTTAATAAATGATAAAAAAGATACAAAAAACACGTTCCACTTGACATGAGATACAATACACAGTCAGCAATGATTTTCATGACCATAGCAACCTTTATGTACATATTCAAAATTTGATAATTTTTAACAAAAAGTAAATCCATGTGATTAAAAAATCTAGTTTTAGAGTGTAATCAAAATAATGAATTTTCCACATCAAGAATGTAAATCATGAAATATAAAAATGGAGAATGCAAAATTTGAGTCATTCTTGCCTTCTATGGTAGAATAATGGAAAAGGAAACGGTGAGGAGGCTGTGAATATTTCAACAGATGGCAGCAGAATGATTGTATACAACTAGCTACAGAACAAACATCCAATCAAGGTGGAGTAAGGGCAGAGTAAGTGTGAAAAGAGAGGAACACTGTAACTTAAACATAAACATAAAAACAAACTTCTGGATAAAAACTTGTCAATTTATAACTTAATGCAGTGAAATGCATGTGAATAACATTCTTTAAAATACTTTCTATAATCAAGATTCTTATAATTTTCATATCTATTTTTTGTGTTTGGAGTTCTTTTGGGGGTAGCAATCAGTGGTTGTGGAATGGGGAAGTAAAGGATTCAACTGTAAAAAGAAATAATACACAAACCATAGCACAACTGTAAAGCTAGTTGTAAATAGAATAAAAAGCTCCAGCATGCATATACCTCCTTTAAATAGACAGTATATATATATATATATATATATATATATATATATATATATATATATATATATATATATATCAATTACTTCATAACAATGACAGAGGTACAGAAAAGTGTGCAATTTGTCCTCTTTATCTTCTGTGTTGTTGAATGTTCAGTGAGTATACTCCAGAATTTCTGTTTTTCCAAATGTCCAAAACTGTTTTTCAAAGTTTTACTCATGCTTGTCATTAAATTATACTAAATGCCCCACCCTTCAATCATTATCTCTGCAGGCAGGCCCGTAGCCAGGGGAGTTCGGGTTGAAATAACCCCCCTTTTCCATGAAAAGGTTCTGTCTGAATGAAATTTTATCCAAGTACATGAAGGTTTCATGGTAAATGGTCCACTTTTTTTTAGAAAAAGAATCCCCTTCTGAAATTGCTTGCTACGGTCCAGCTCTGCCATGACTTTCTGACTTTCATCTTGAACTCCATTATAAAGATTGATTGCCTTAATCATGTACTCACTCAGCTGTATCAAATGCCAGTGTAAAGTTTGCCCGCCTGTTCTTGGAATCAAGATTAGTGAAGTCAAAGGCATCAGGAAAAAAGTGGTGAATCAAAGCACAGAATGCCATTCCATCATTCCATGAACTTGAGAAGTTGGTTATGTTTACTCCATAATTCTGTATAAAGAAAATGAAAAATTTAAACAATTAATACATGGATGAATTAAGTCATATGCCAATAAATGGAATTATTAGCACAATTAAATATTTGTATTTTTAATTATCTTAAACAACTTTTTAATTTCATTAAGACATTTTAATTTATTGGTAAGTTACCTTTTTCTGCTCACATTAAATTAGCATATACAAATATTCTGAGCCAGACAAAAGTTTTAATGAAAAAGTGAACTATTTTCTGAAAACATGCTTAAGGTGACAAAAGTACAGACAACCTATCTCCATTTAAATATTCAGGATGATGGACAAAATAACACACACACACGTGTATGTACACAAAAATGACTAGGGATTTCCTATGCTGTACAGAACAAAGCAATGGCTCTTTATCATACAAATATGAAGTGCACATGCCAAGAAAGCTATCAGACATTTTAGATACTAATAATCTATTCAATGCACATGCAAGGCTTTAAATATGCAAAGTAGGAAGTTAAAATAAAATAAATAAGTACAGTTATCGGATCTCTTGAACAAAAGATTAGAGTGTATGAAACAAAACTAAAGAATACATGTGGGCATTAAGAATATGAAATATCATCTACATAGTTCAGCCATTTTTTATACTTGGACCACTTTACTGCAGACACACAGGTTAGACACGTGGATCTAGCTGCTATAAATCTTTTTACAAGTGGGAAAATTTCAATCTAAGAAATGTCAGATAATTTCTCCATTCTTTTTTAAACTCTCAGTTACTTCATGCTTCTTTGATTGCGGCTACTTTGGAAAGTTCTTCAGGCCAATGGAAGTTCAAAGACACACCTTGAATTGCCAAGATGTGAAAAATGTACATCTCACAAAAAACTGCATAATTTCAAGAAAAATAAACCGATCAGGTTGTTTTTTTTAAAACTGTACCTGTATTTAAGTAATAATAATCACACCTGTAAGTTTGAAGCTAACAGATCAACCATTTTTCACTTAATGATTGATCTGTAATGCATATTTTCATCAATTCTGTAAGTTTTAAGACAATCAGCCAAATAGTTTCCACTTATCGTGTTATCTCTGAAAGTACACAGCTACAGCAGACACAGATGATGGCATTACGTAAAGACATGCTATGTCTAGACATGAAAATTATGGCCTGGGAAAACGTCCTTCTCATTTTGTTGTGATATTTTTATTGTTAGCGTTATTCTAAATCACATCTGTGATAATAACAGGGAGTGTATTTACAACCAAGCAGATTACCTCAGGCCTTGCCTTGAAGTACTAGATAAATCCATAATGCCCAGCTATGCATTGCACCAGATCTATGCCTTAAGGTAGTTTGTACCAACATTTAGATAACATAACACTCCGTGTATGGCACGAGTGCCCATTCAAATCAATGAGGAATATCCGCTGCATTCATAGAAATGATATAAAAAGATGGCTAATACTGACGGGAACATGCTGATACCTAAAACCTCACTAACAAATATCCAAAGATATTTCTACCTCAATTCGCATACCATCACCGAACAATTAGTGAGTATGAAGAATGCACACAGACAAATCCAATATTTTCTTCTGAACACAGTCAACTCAACATTTCATCTATCATTACCGCATATTCTTTGGTCATTGCTTGTGTCCAACTGAGTAACATTTGTTTGATAGCACTGGGGCTCCTTGTCACCCCTCCTCCGCCCCTGCCCCTACCAGCTCCAGCTTGTAAGAAACTATAAACAGCAAAGAATAATACCAAGAAGGAATATGGGGTCCAAAGCACAATGAGTACATATCCTAACAAATCTAAAGCAGTAGATATAACTAAGTAGCATCATGCAAATCTGTTATATTGGTAAAATGATATCAGCTACTGATCAAAAAGAAGAGGGAAATGATGTTGTTACTGCTAGAACTACAGTTGAGTTTGAGGCATGAAAAGAATGGCCTGAAATGGTACAAATGAAATGCTGATGGATCTGAAATGGTGTGGTAAAAGAAAAATGAAACTCGGCACTGAGAAGACACTAAAAAAAATATTTGGAAACCTGAAATGTATGTCAACAGAGAAATAAAAACAGAATTGCCGAGGAAAAACTCTTTGAAATCATCTGATATAAAGAAATGTCAGTGAAGCTGAAATGGGATGGAGAGATTCAACACTGCTGAGTTAGGCTGTCATGGAAGCAAGAGTAATGTCACAGATCTAATAAAAAAAGGTATAAAATGTCTAACTAAAATAAGAATATTTGGTAAATAATTGACGTATAACATACACAAACACCAAGTTTAAAGCATGTTTAACCTGGAGGTAAAACAAATTTAAAAATCTGTACAACTTTCTATCTCCAATTTATTTGTCACAAGAAAAAACATGGAAGTTTGGGACCTTACTACTGTTTTATAATGTCCATACTTTTTGCTGCTTACAGAAAACTTGGTATTGTATGTATGGTTCACAATTAGCAAGGAAGTAGATATCTGCTTCCTTGCTATAGCAACCTCTAAAATAAATCAGTCAGATGTTGGGGGAGGTAGTGGTTGGGGTACCTTATACTCCTGTGTATTTGCCTGTGCAAAGTTTAGAATCTGCTGTTTGATTGTATTGGCATTCATCCTCACAAAGCTGCAGCAGAAAGTTGAAATAAATTATAATGAATGACAATTAAAAAGAAGGAAGCTTGAAATTTCAGCCGTGTTTATCATAGCTTATAAAAATAAAAGATAACTGGTGCATTCAGCAGCTTGCATTTAGTCTGACTAAACTGCTGCATCTGAAGAAACAAAACATATTATTTAAAACATTATTGTTTCCACAGGGATGTGATATATTAGTTAGCATACAAAAATATTCATCAAAAACAAATTACTTGCATTCCTTGTGTACCTAATCACCTAAATTAATTTTTCCATTCCCAACAAATCTCCACTGTTCTCCCAAGCGGTCAAATATGCTAGGTACCAATATCCACGTTACACTCATAAAATCTGGATGAAATTCAAGTTCTTAAGTTATTTTCAAAGTTTACCGGGGTATTATTTTCTTCTTTTTCTGTATTTGTGATTCCAAAAGTTATATTTTATTGAGAAAAGCAAGGGAATTAATTACCCTTTTTATTACCCTCCTGAATTTCACATGTTGTAACAACTATATAATAATAAAAAACAACAACATTTATCTTACTTTGGTTTGGCAGGAGCTCCTCCAGTCTTGGCATCCATTCCTTGGAATGCTGCTCTGGCACTCTTGGCTCCAGCTGCAAGATAAAACATCATTAAATAGCATTGGAATAAACAATAGGAGCCACACAAAAGGCAAATTAACATTTTAATTAAGCAATAACAATTATTTACACAAAAAAAAATGTAAGGGCAAAGTAAAACCTAGTCCTGAAAGCTGACAAATATCTGATAACTTGAAAAAAAATTTACAACACGCAAATGAAAGCAAAGGTACATCTTTGAAAATGTGAATATGCATTCACTCATATTTTAAATCAGTAAGTGTGCAAAATATCCTCTGTAAAGATAATTCTGGTGAAGGGAAAAAAACTGTCCCGCATGATGTAACAGAATTAACTACTACAACTTAGGTAAGCTATGCACAAAAAAGTTTTAAAAAACTATTTACAACTGTAGTTAATGGGTGAGCAGCTTAAAGTCTCAATTGAAAAAAGCATTATCATAATACACATTAAACAATATAAAACTATAATAAATACAACAATGTTGGTTTTTTAAAGAACACACTAAATATACTATTGTCAAATCATAGTTTACTTACTGAAATTTCATCCTTTGAAACAGCATGTTATCAAAACAATAGACAATTATACATTTTCAAAAGTAACACAAAACGTGCATCTTTACACAACAAAAGCATGCTTCTTTCTAGTATTTTTAAGTTCAAAATATATAATTCATTTCAAAGTCTATGTAGAAATACAAAATGAATGCCACACTGTCTACAGTAAATACTATGCCATCAAATAGATGTAACAACAATGATGAGTACAAATAAAGGAATAAACAGAAATAAAAAAAAGAAAATGAAGCAGACTACCTAATGCTGCTATTGCACCCCGTGATTTGCCAAGATTTGCCAACGTGCTGGGGTATTTTGATTTGGACAAATTAGGTGTCCCACCTCCCCATGTTTTTGTCTGCTCAGTATTTTCTATTAAACCATCTCTTGAATTCCAAGCTTGGTATTTGACAGTGATAGAGCCACTGGTCCCTGGGCTGCTGCAGTTGGAAAATTGTTCTGCTAAACTTTGTGCATCTGTGCTCATAGAGAGAGAGAGAGAACAGGTGGAAATCATGTTAATTACTATAATAACACAATTATAGTATATTGTATAAAATTTTGGAAAACCTGAAAGGACATGTAATATCCAAGGGGGTGTGCATCTGATAAATGTGGAATTTTGAAAGGTAATTTTGGGATGAAAAAACAAACCCAAGTTCAAAATTATGAGAACTACTGTTTGAATAATTCCAAACAATACAACTTTTTTTACATAGAATGTGAAAGGGTTAAATGTGGCACGGTGCTAGGGATATAATAAAATCGACCATTTGAAAATGATTGATTTTTTAAAGTGATTTCCTCCCAATAAATGTGCAATGAATTTTGAATTATTTCTGGAATTGTGGCATACATCATAATAGCCCCCTCTCCCCCTACTTTCCATTCTAAAATCACTTTATGGGGATGAGGTAAGGATGGCATGGGCAAACATCATAAAACAAAATCAAAGCTTAAATGNTGGCCGCTACTCCCGTGTAAATGCACCGATTGACCCCAAATTTACGGAGATGAAAGATGACCTGAAGGGTAACATTTTCCAATAATATTATTGGTTAAGTCTGTGTGGTGTCTGAATAACAGCGCAAATAATTTTTTTTTTTTCGTAAAAAAATTCATTTTTTTGAAAATTTTGGCCCGTTTGACCTTGAAATAAAGGTCAAAGGTCAAATCCAAGGGCATATTCGAAATCTACACATATGACTTTTGGAAAGCCGTCTGTAGAAATTTTTCCCATAATTCCTTCCGTAGGGTAGATAATTAGCATTTAATTTTGCCATTTTTGGACAAGGGTGCATTGCAATGAATGCCACACCTGGACCCCAATACCGACAAAGCCCAAATTTTACGTGGAACGAGTTGAGATTATAGGTGACCTAAATCCAAGAGATGGGTATGGGGGCCCTTACCATCTAGGAGGAGAAGCGGTAACGGTAACATGGCGGCGGAGCCGGTGGAACGGACCGGATGGGACTAATACCATGTGTACCGCCAACGCTAACGCTGGTGGTACAATAAAAGATAACTGGTGCATTCAGCAGCTTGCATTTAGTCTGACTGAACTGCTGCATCTGAAGAAACAAAACATTATTTAAAACATTATTGTTTCCACAGGGATGTGATATATTAGTTAGCATACAAAAATGCTCATCAAAAACAACTTGCATTCCTTGTGTACCTAATCACCTAAATTATTTTTTCCATTCCTAACAAATCTCCACTGTTCTCCCAAGTGGTCAAATATGCTAGGTACCAATATCCATGTCACACTCATAAAATCTGGATGAAATTCAAGTTCTTAAGTTATTTTCAAGGTTTACTGGGGTATTATTTTCTTCTTTTTCTGTATTTGTGATTCCAAAAGTTATATTTCATTGAGAAAAGCAAGGGAATTAATTACCCTTTTTATTACCCTCCTGAATTTCACATGTTGTAACAACTATCAAATGTCTATATAATAATAAAAAACAACAACATTTATCTTACTTTGGTTTGGCAGGAGCTCCTCCAGTCTTGGCATCCATTCCTTGGAATGCTGCTCTGGCACTCTTGGCTCCAGCTGCAAGATAAAACATCATTAAATAGCATTGGAATAAACAATAGGAGCCACACAAAAGGCAAATTAACCTTTTAATTAAGCAATAACAATTATTTACACAAAAAGATGTAAGGGCAAAGTAAAACCTAGTCCTGAAAGCTGACAAATATCTGATAACTTGAAAAAAAATTTATAATACGCAAATGAAAGCAAAGGTACATCTTTTAAAATGTGAATATGCATTCACTCATATTCTAAATCAGAAAGTGTGCAAAATATCCTCTGTAAAGATAATTCTGGGGAAGGCAAAAAAACTGTCCCGCATGATGTAACAGAATTAACTACTACAACTTAGGTAAGCTATGCACAAAAAAGTTTTAAAAAATTATTTACAACTGTAGTTAATGGGTGAGCAGCTTAATAAGTCTCAATTGAAAAAAGCATTATCATAATACACATTAAACAATATAAAACTATAATAAATACAACAATGTTGGGTTTTTAAAGAACGCACTAAATATCCTATTGTCAAATCATAGTTTACTTACTGAAATTTCATCCTTTGAAACAGCATGTTATCAAAACAATAGACAATTATACATTTTCAAAAGTAACACAAAACGTGCATCTTTACACAACAAAAACATGCTTTTTTCTAGTATTTTTAAGTTCAAAATATATAATTCATTTCAAAGTCTATGTAGAAATACAAAATGAATGCCACACTGTCTACAGTAAATACTATGCCATCAAATAGATGTAACAACAATGATGAGTACAAATAAAGGAATAAACAGAAATAAAAAAAGAAAATGAAGCAGACTACCTAATGCTGCTATTGCACCCCGTGATTTGCCAAGATTTGCCAACGTGCTGGGGTATTTTGATTTGGACAAATTATGTGTCCCACCTCCCCATGTTTTTGTCTGCTCAGTATTTTCTATTAAACCATCTCTTGAATTCCAAGCTTGGTATTTGACAGTGATAGAGCCACTGGTCCCTGGGCTGCTGCAGTTGGAAAATTGTTCTGCTAAACTTTGTGCATCTGTGCTCATAGAGAGAGAGAGAGAACAGGTGGAAATCATGTTAATTACTATAATAACACAATTATAGTATATTGTATAAAATTTTGGAAAACTTGAAAGGACATGTAATATCCAAGGGGGTGTGCATCTGATAAATATGTGGAATTTTGAAAGGTAATTTTGGGATGAAAAAACAAACCCAAGTTTAAAATTATGAGAACTACTGTTTGAATAATTCCAAACAATATGATTTTTTTTACATAGAATGTGAAAGGGTTAAATGTGGCACGGTGCTAGGGATATAATAAAATCGACCATTAGAAAATGATTGATTTTTTAAAGTGATTTCCTCCCAATAAATGTGCAATGAATTTTGAATTATTTTTGGAATTGTGGCATACATCGTAATAGCCCCCTCTCCCCCTACTTTCCTTTCTAAAATCACTTTATGGGGATGAGGTAAGAATGGCATGGGCAAGCATCATAAAACAAAATCAAAGCTTAAATATTTCTCAAAATTCCATCTCATTTTAAGAAAGAACTTTAATATAATTAGTCTAGTACATAAAGATTCAATCTAATAATCTAATGAGTTCAATCATAAAATCATGAATGAAAAAATCCAAAAAAGCATTAAACAAACAGGAGGTGTTTTAGCCACTATTTGAGGTAACTATGCCAGGTTAGCGGTAAACTAACTCCACACAACTCTTCAAAGTGCAATTGATCCAAAGCAGACATGCCATATCTCATGATTTAAGTTGTATTTTTGGAAATGGGCCAACAGAGCCAAAATGGCAATCCAAGAGAGCTCTGGGAAGGATAAGACCAGGTACCTAGAGCCCCTTAACATTCAGTTTCTCAATTGTTCAGATACCATAACTGCAGTAACATTGCATCTAAAAGGCTGATATTTGGATGCAGTATTACTGCATCCAAATATCAACCTTTTTTTCAAAAGGAATCTGGAAGTGTCTTCATATCAAGATCAATGTGGTTATATAACTTCCACGGTTCATGTTTTCTGAACCAAAAACTACTAGGTACTCAAACATATTCCCAGGTAAAGTATTTCAAGATTGTTGAAGTGTGGGCTGGGTTATCAGGAGATATGGTGTCATGCCACATGCATTGAAAGGTTGAATTTCTTTTATCTCAATGTACCTGGAGGAGCAGACTTTTTCGTAAATCCACTCGATGTTTTCGTAGTTGTTGTTGTTGTTGTCTTAGAGCTGGCTCCATCTATTATATGGAGAGAGGACAAAGCATTTGAACATGGACATTCCATACATAAAAAGAAAAATGCATGTCTGAAAAAAGTATCCCACAGTCTTAATACACATTATTATAAATACAAATACATGCACAAGGTGCAGGCTTCCTGATGAATTTGCTTAATCAAATGTATAAGATTATTAAGCTCAAAAATATCAAATAACAATTGCAGCTATGACAGTCTTTGTTGGATAATCTCAATTGGCACACAATATTCTCATTGAAACCATTTCTCAGTATTAATGATACCATGAAGCAACACTGTAAAAAAGTTAATAACTAATTGTGAAATTTTTAATGCTGTAAAATTGATACCACTTACCAAAACTTTCAAATACAAAANTTTCTAGTATTTTTAAGTTCAAAATATATAATTCATTTCAAAGTCTATGTAGAAATACAAAATGAATGCCACACTGTCTACAGTAAATACTATGCCATCAAATAGATGTAACAACAATGATGAGTACAAATAAAGGAATAAACAGAAATAAAAAAAGAAAATGAAGCAGACTACCTAATGCTGCTATTGCACCCCGTGATTTGCCAAGATTTGCCAACGTGCTGGGGTATTTTGATTTGGACAAATTATGTGTCCCACCTCCCCATGTTTTTGTCTGCTCAGTATTTTCTATTAAACCATCTCTTGAATTCCAAGCTTGGTATTTGACAGTGATAGAGCCACTGGTCCCTGGGCTGCTGCAGTTGGAAAATTGTTCTGCTAAACTTTGTGCATCTGTGCTCATAGAGAGAGAGAGAGAACAGGTGGAAATCATGTTAATTACTATAATAACACAATTATAGTATATTGTATAAAATTTTGGAAAACTTGAAAGGACATGTAATATCCAAGGGGGTGTGCATCTGATAAATATGTGGAATTTTGAAAGGTAATTTTGGGATGAAAAAACAAACCCAAGTTTAAAATTATGAGAACTACTGTTTGAATAATTCCAAACAATATGATTTTTTTTACATAGAATGTGAAAGGGTTAAATGTGGCACGGTGCTAGGGATATAATAAAATCGACCATTAGAAAATGATTGATTTTTTAAAGTGATTTCCTCCCAATAAATGTGCAATGAATTTTGAATTATTTTTGGAATTGTGGCATACATCGTAATAGCCCCCTCTCCCCCTACTTTCCTTTCTAAAATCACTTTATGGGGATGAGGTAAGAATGGCATGGGCAAGCATCATAAAACAAAATCAAAGCTTAAATATTTCTCAAAATTCCATCTCATTTTAAGAAAGAACTTTAATATAATTAGTCTAGTACATAAAGATTCAATCTAATAATCTAATGAGTTCAATCATAAAATCATGAATGAAAAAATCCAAAAAAGCATTAAACAAACAGGAGGTGTTTTAGCCACTATTTGAGGTAACTATGCCAGGTTAGCGGTAAACTAACTCCACACAACTCTTCAAAGTGCAATTGATCCAAAGCAGACATGCCATATCTCATGATTTAAGTTGTATTTTTGGAAATGGGCCAACAGAGCCAAAATGGCAATCCAAGAGAGCTCTGGGAAGGATAAGACCAGGTACCTAGAGCCCCTTAACATTCAGTTTCTCAATTGTTCAGATACCATAACTGCAGTAACATTGCATCTAAAAGGCTGATATTTGGATGCAGTATTACTGCATCCAAATATCAACCTTTTTTTCAAAAGGAATCTGGAAGTGTCTTCATATCAAGATCAATGTGGTTATATAACTTCCAAGGTTCATGTTTTCTGAACCAAAAACTACTAGGTACTCAAACATATTCCCAGGTAAAGTATTTCAAGATTGTTGAAGTGTGGGCTGGGTTATCAGGAGATATGGTGTCATGCCACATGCATTGAAAGGTTGAATTTCTTTTATCTCAATGTACCTGGAGGAGCAGACTTTTTCGTAAATCCACTCGATGTTTTCGTAGTTGTTGTTGTTGTTGTCTTAGAGCTGGCTCCATCTATTATATGGAGAGAGGACAAAGCATTTGAACATGGACATTCCATACATAAAAAGAAAAATGCATGTCTGAAAAAAGTATCCCACAGTCTTAATACACATTATTATAAATACAAATACATGCACAAGGTGCAGGCTTCCTGATGAATTTGCTTAATCAAATGAATAAGATTATTAAGCTCAAAAATATCAAATAACAATTGCAGCTATGACAGTCTTTGTTGGATAATCTCAATTGGCACACAATATTCTCATTGAAACCATTTCTCAGTATTAATGATACCATGAAGAAACACTGTAAAAAAGTTAATAACTAATTGTGAAATTTTTAATGCTGTAAAATTGATACCACTTACCAAAACTTTCAAATACAAAAAAATTGAATGTTTACTTCATATAACTACCATCAAAAGACTGTCATTTTATTATAGTTAATATGCATTTTCTTCTAGGAACAGATAGTAAAGTATGCAATATATGTAGTCTCAGACATCACATTATACTCAACAGGATGATTCCAACAACGTACTTATAATAAATAACACATTACAGAAATTTAATTGAAACACATATTGATAACTGCACATATAGTGACCTAACTTACCTTTCACCGTTGTTGTGGTTACATCTGTGATTGTCTTGTCAAATGCTTCATCTTCTGCGATGCGACCATAAGCCTTCATGGTGGCCTGTTTCTGAGCATCTGCTTTTTCTTTAAGTAGTTTGGTTCCAGCATCAGCACCGGATTTGGCTCCAAGTTGAGATGATTTAGCGTCTTCCTCGAATTTTTTCAACTGGCGTGCCTGTAGTACAAAGTACATTTTTTCTCTGTACAAAACATTTCTGACCATAATTTGGCATAAAGTATATTATATACATATACTGCATAAACAGTCAAATAAAAAACATGAAAGGAAGAAATATCATTTAACCCTTCTACAAAATTTTGAAGGCAACACTGCTTTAAAAGGTTGCCTACAGATAAAACCATTTATGTTATTAAACTGACAGCAAAGCTGGCGAATATACAGACACCATAAAGTAAGAAATATCAACAAAATACATGCAAAAAATTAATTTTTATCCTAAAAGTAATTCAATCATGCTGTTTCCATAAGAAAGCTGTCTCTTTATCAAACAAAGCCACTGAGTAAATTTAAAGTTAAACAAAAATATCTTTTGGTAGTTACATGTCAAGCTGAATGTTGCCAAAATTGTGAAAAAAAAAAATTCCTATCCCATCCTGCAGATTTTTAGAAGCAACCTGCCTTAAATATGAGGCAAACATCACCAAAATCCAGAAAAAAAATAGGATTATTACTGTAAATGTAAACATATCATGCTGATTTTCAAAAGCAACTTTACCTCCTTACTCTACCTACTTAACTCTTTACCAAACAAAGCCACTCAGTAAATTTAAAGTAAAACAAAAATATGGCTTGGCAGTTATGGGGCGAACGACATGTGTCAAACAGCAACAGTAATGAAATGAACAGACGGACCAATCAGAATATATACAGGCACTTACAGTGTCTGCATATAAAAATTCTTAAGGCATATTATCTCTAACATGAAAAAATTTCAATTAAGGAGAAATGTGCAGATCTAGTCACAATATACACAGTATACATATATATATAGTCTTACCTATAGCTTTAATTGAAAACATGCAACTGGTACCTAGTACCTGTCAATGTTCTTTAACAATGTACATACATGTATATAATTGTTTCCATAAACCAAACTGATTTACCTTTGCAGCATCTTTGGATGCAGCATCTGCTTTTGTAAAATCTGGGACTGCACTTTCATGCTTTTTGGTCATAGCTGCGAGACGGGCTGCCTTAGCCTCATCTTCCAGCTTTTCCCGGCGCTTCATTTCATCCTGACTAGCCATTTGGCGGGCCTTGGTTTCCTCTTCACGCTGTTCTGCAAAAGCCAACAAAAAGTAATCACAGATAAGCTCACTTTTACTAGTAAAGTATACATAATGAACTTTGTATAAAAAGAAGCAGCCAACATATCTAAACAGATATGAAGATCACTAAATTCCTTGCACTTGTTTAAATGGAATAGGAAAAACAAAAGATGAAAGAGAACAAGAGTTAAGTTTGTTTCTCTGCTTCCACTGTTTGACCATCAAAATATTGCATAAATCTATCTCAGAACAAAACCATCTAAGAAGACCAATTCCCTTTTTGCATAATGTTTCATTCTTCTTGTAAATACTTGTTTACCTTCCCAATGAAGAACAACAGTCCGACAATATTACAAAAGCAAGAGAATGATCCAATATGTTATATCCTATATCCAATACGTTATATCCTATATCCAATATGTTATATCCATAATGCTATACATATTTGCATGCCCTATCCTTTCAGACCTGGCTTAAGCAGACTGAAATCTAATAAATGTGCTTACAAAATATCCTAATTCCTAAGTAACAATTTTGCTGCCTGAGATCTCCACTCTCAGCCACGCCTGCAGTTACTGGCAGAGTACTGGTGGGTGCTTTANAGTGACCTAACTTACCTTTCACCGTTGTTGTGGTTACATCTGTGATTGTCTTGTCAAATGCTTCATCTTCTGCGATGCGACCATAAGCCTTCATGGTGGCCTGTTTCTGAGCATCTGCTTTTTCTTTAAGTAGTTTGGTTCCAGCATCAGCACCGGATTTGGCTCCAAGTTGAGATGATTTAGCGTCTTCCTCGAATTTTTTCAACTGGCGTGCCTGTAGTACAAAGTACATTTTTTCTCTGTACAAAACATTTCTGACCATAATTTGGCATAAAGTATATTATATACATATACTGCATAAACAGTCAAATAAAAAACATGAAAGGAAGAAATATCATTTAACCCTTCTACAAAATTTTGAAGGCAACACTGCTTTAAAAGGTTGCCTACAGATAAAACCATTTATGTTATTAAACTGACAGCAAAGCTGGCGAATATACAGACACCATAAAGTAAGAAATATCAACAAAATACATGCAAAAAATTAATTTTTATCCTAAAAGTAATTCAATCATGCTGTTTCCATAAGAAAGCTGTCTCTTTATCAAACAAAGCCACTGAGTAAATTTAAAGTTAAACAAAAATATCTTTTGGTAGTTACATGTCAAGCTGAATGTTGCCAAAATTGTGAAAAAAAAAGAAATTCCTATCCGATCCTGCAGATTTTTAGAAGCAACCTGCCTTAAATATGAGGCAAACATCACCAAAATCCAGAAAAAAAAATAGGATTATTACTGTAAATGTAAACATATCATGCTGATTTTCAAAAGCAACTTTACCTCCTTACTCTACCTACTTAACTCTTTACCAAACAAAGCCACTCAGTAAATTTAAAGTAAAACAAAAATATGGCTTGGCAGTTATGGGGCGAACGACATGTGTCAAACAGCAACAGTAATGAAATGAACAGACAGACCAATCAGAATATATACAGGCACTTATAGTGTCTGCATATAAAAATTCTTAAGGCATATTATCTCTAACATGAAAAAATTTCAAACAAGGAGAAATGTGCAGATCTAGTCACAATTTACAGTATACATATATATAACCTTACCTATAGCTTTAATTGAAAACATACAACTGGTACCTAGTACCTGTCAATGTTCTTTAACAATGTACATACATGTATATAATTGTTTCCATAAACCAAACTGATTTACCTTTGCAGCATCTTTGGATGCAGCATCTGCCTTTGTAAAATCTGGGACTGCACTTTCATGCTTTTTGGTCATAGCTGCGAGACGGGCTGCCTTAGCCTCATCTTCCAGCTTTTCCCGGCGCTTCATTTCATCCTGACTAGCCATTTGGCGGGCCTTGGCTTCCTCTTCACGCTGTTCTGCAAAAGCCAACAAAAAGTAATCACAGATAAGCTCACTTTTACTTGTAAATATCAAAAGTATACATAATGAACTTTGTATAAAAAGAAGCAGCCAACTTATCTAAACAGATATGAAGATCACTAAATTCCTTGCACTTGTTTAAATGGAATAGGAAAAGCAAAGATGAAAGAGAACAAGAGTTAAGCTTGTTTCTCTGCTTCCACTGTTTGACTATCAAAATATAGTATAAATCTATCTCAGAACAAAATCATCTAAGAAGAGCAATTCCCTTTTTGCATGATGTTTCATTCTTCTTGTAAATACTTGTTTACCTTCCCAATGAAGAACAACAGTCCGACAATATTACAAAAGCAAGAGAATGATCCAATATGTTATATCCTATATCCAATATGTTATATCCTATATCCAATATGTTATATCCTATATCCAATATGTTATATCCATAATGCTATACATATTTGCATGCCCTATCCTTTCAGACCTGGCTTAAGCAGACTGAAATCTAATAAATGTGCTTACAAAATATCCTAATTCCTAAGTAACAATTTTGCTGCCTGAGATCTCCACTCTCAGCCACGCCTGCAGTTACTGGCAGAATACTGGTGGGTGCTTTAAGAGATAGAGAAGGAGAAGCTATATGACCATTGGCATTTATTTGCCAGATGTTGCTTCACCTATAACTCACATTTTGCTGCAACCATCCATCAAATAGACCCCAAATTTATTATCTCTAGTCCTGATTAATTACTGTACAAAAATTGCTTATCTGACTAATTACTGAACCATATACAATGATCTTCGAACTGTGTACTTCTTGCATAGGGATGTTATAGGATATTATAGAACTTTTTTTTATTTGAGCTGGTAAACAATAATTATTGATTCAATAAAAAGATTAATTTAAAAATGCTTAAAACAAAGGGGCTTAAAGGGCAAATAAAATGTCTGGCTGAATTGCTAATTGACTTAAATGATAAGTACTTTAGCACCCTTACTGTTGACCTTTTCAGAAAAAAACCAACAAACAATAAAAAACTATGTTCAGTTTTTCAGACAAGGAGAAAAGGAACTATTTATGAAAACAAGTGTTTGGGACTGGGAGTTGATACTGAGAGTGAAAAAAGTCCACTATTTCAAGAATTTATCAGTGATAGTGTATTCAATGAATATTGCATGGCTTTTTATCACAAGCGTCAGTTGGAAGTTGATTTAATGTGTATAAGCTGCCTGTTGCTCAGCTATAATATAGAGCAGACACTGGAAGGGCTTTGGTCAGCTGTTTCACCATTTTTCTTATCTTTTCCTCCTTCCCCAAGCTACTTCAAGTGATACTTTTGACGTAAAGGAAGATCCAATATTTTTTTTTTGCTACATAAACCATGCATGGTGAACAGACCACTTGCTTGGCAATTCACATTTTTCTTCTTCCATTTCAGCATTAAAAACTTAATGACAAAAGAAAAACAAACACAATACTCCACGAAAACAATTGCAAAACTGAACATTAAGAATAACTTTTAAAAAGACACGATCCCAGAACTTCAACCACTTAAAAATGCAGCACAAAATTGAAAACAAATAAGGAGAACAAAATAAGAAAAAAAAAAGCTTTCTATAACTATCTAAATTTCTACAAAGCACATTCAAACAATCAGTGCACAAGCAAAACAGTAAGTTCAATTTCTGTTTATAACATAATGAAACAGTTGTTCTCCTGTGTGATATTACAGTGTACATGACAAATATCACAAGGAAATCTATAGCTATATATCAAAAGTATACCAGTATATATTACTATAAATTTCTTTGTGATATTTGGCGTATAATCACCCAGCATGACAAATTATTTCCCCCTAATCATCTTTTTTATTTTCTCATAAAAACAGGAGCAAACTTGTTATGAACTGAGATTTTTAAAAATAAAAATTAAGGGTTTAGGCATTTGATTAAATTTTGACAAGAAACAGATAGCTATGACAGGTCAATAAAACTTCTCTACTACTTCTCTACTTTCTGAAATAAAGATATAAATATAAGAGTGCCCACCCTTTTTCATAATATTCAAATGGTCATGATTATTTTTTCTTTGAAGCTGTTGCTATTTTGCTGGATAACTTATACCTGCATAGGTATAAACAGCTTAAAGGAATCTTGGTAATTTAGCTTGAATCCATAAACCAGGGAATCATCAGGAAGCATTCTTAAGTTTACCTGGAATGCTACAAATGCTTCTGATGTTGCAGTACATAAAATTAACAGTTCAGTGGGATCATCCAAATCAGCTCTTCCTCATCATATTTGTAAAGACAAGAGTTTAAGCAATCAAACATGTAGCAAGAAAATGGTTGGTCTGATCTAAAAGCATTGGTTAAAGCCTGCTGACACTACAAATGTACTGAAAAGACAAATGTCATTGCCTACATGTTAAATTGAACAACTCATGATCACAAATGAATTCTACCTTTAAATTTGGTGTTGGCAGCCTTAATGTGGTGATATTGGACAGTTGAATATTTGATTGAGATTCCAAGCTATTGAATTTCTTATGAATGAATTCCATACATGGGAACGATTCTTTGCCACTTTGTCAGCCATCTTGGAATCTCAATCTTGGTGACTGTAAAAGCAACAAACTGTACTTACTGTCCTGTATCCCAAGTTTCTGGTCTAAAGTCAATCAAAGCAATTAGATGCTTTTTTCCATTAATATATTTTAAGCTCATTTCTAGGTATCATGACAAATTTCTCAATATGCTGTTTTGACTTTAGCTTCATTCAATAATATTTTCCAAAAGCCCATTTTTATTTAATATGTAAATCAAAATATGTAATTTGTGAACTAAATCAATCATAAAAAATAACAAATAAATAAATAAATAAATAAAATAAAAAAACTAGTTAATTCTATTTAAATAAATGAGATACTGAATATGATAATTACTCATGCAAAGAATAATTAGATGAAAATAAAAGTTCATCAAATTTGGTAATCGGTTTTCCTTTCGTGTATTTTTCTTCAGCTTTATCAAAATTTTGCAGGAGGTATACAATTATGCTCTATTCTTACAACAAGATATCTGTGGTTTTCCACACAGTTCTTCAACCACAGATGAAGATGCAATTTGTGGAATGTTTATCTGACTAAATTTAGATTGACCAATCCTTGAGCAATACCTAGTAATGGAGTTATGAGAGGAGAATCAAGGAAAACTAATTCAACACCTGCTCTGGGTGTAGTCTCAATTAAGCTACTGATAGCTGATCATCACATTTTACAAGTAGGTACATTCTACATGAAAGACATCCACAAGAAAAAAATCTAGAAACAATATCTAGCAAAATAATCATAGCTAAACAATCAATTGATAATACAATTTTTCAGCAGTAAAAAAAAAAATAAACAAATAAAAAATAAAGTAAACGGATTCTTTGTGTTTTTTAAAAGGAGGCCATGACCACACACACACACATATAATAATCAAATATCTTTTTGGTGAGGAAAAGAGTATTTAGGGCTGCATTTGAAGAATACCTTTGTTGATACTTACTTTTGTGAAGTTCTCTAAGATGTTTGATCCTATTTCTTATTTTCTTTCGTTGATCAAAATCTTGCGTGTTGTTGAGCTGTAAATATACACAAGACAGCACNCGGACCAATCAGAATATATACAGGCACTTACAGTGTCTGCATATAAAAATTCTTAAGGCATATTATCTCTAACATGAAAAAATTTCAATTAAGGAGAAATGTGCAGATCTAGTCACAATATACACAGTATACATATATATATAGTCTTACCTATAGCTTTAATTGAAAACATGCAACTGGTACCTAGTACCTGTCAATGTTCTTTAACAATGTACATACATGTATATAATTGTTTCCATAAACCAAACTGATTTACCTTTGCAGCATCTTTGGATGCAGCATCTGCTTTTGTAAAATCTGGGACTGCACTTTCATGCTTTTTGGTCATAGCTGCGAGACGGGCTGCCTTAGCCTCATCTTCCAGCTTTTCCCGGCGCTTCATTTCATCCTGACTAGCCATTTGGCGGGCCTTGGTTTCCTCTTCACGCTGTTCTGCAAAAGCCAACAAAAAGTAATCACAGATAAGCTCACTTTTACTAGTAAAGTATACATAATGAACTTTGTATAAAAAGAAGCAGCCAACATATCTAAACAGATATGAAGATCACTAAATTCCTTGCACTTGTTTAAATGGAATAGGAAAAACAAAAGATGAAAGAGAACAAGAGTTAAGTTTGTTTCTCTGCTTCCACTGTTTGACCATCAAAATATTGCATAAATCTATCTCAGAACAAAACCATCTAAGAAGACCAATTCCCTTTTTGCATAATGTTTCATTCTTCTTGTAAATACTTGTTTACCTTCCCAATGAAGAACAACAGTCCGACAATATTACAAAAGCAAGAGAATGATCCAATATGTTATATCCTATATCCAATACGTTATATCCTATATCCAATATGTTATATCCATAATGCTATACATATTTGCATGCCCTATCCTTTCAGACCTGGCTTAAGCAGACTGAAATCTAATAAATGTGCTTACAAAATATCCTAATTCCTAAGTAACAATTTTGCTGCCTGAGATCTCCACTCTCAGCCACGCCTGCAGTTACTGGCAGAGTACTGGTGGGTGCTTTAAGAGATAGAGAAGGAGAAGCTATATGACCATTGGCATTTATTTGCCAGATGTTGCTTCACCTATAACTCACATTTTGCTGCAACCATCCATCAAATAGACCCCAAATTTATTATCTCTAGTCCTGATTAATTACTGCACAAAAATTGCTTATCTGACTAATTACTGAACCATATACAATAATCTTCGAACTGTGTACTTCTTGTATAGGGATGTTATAGGGTATTATAGAACATTTTTTTATTTGAGCTGGTAAACAATAATTATTGATTCAATAAAACGATGAATTTAAAAATGCTAAAAACAAAGGGGCTTAAATGGCAAATAAAATGTCTGGCTGAATCGCTAATTGACTTAAATGATAAGTACTTTAGCACCCTTACTGTTGACCTTTTCAGAAAAAAACCAACAAACAATAAAAAAACTATGTTCAGTTTTTCAGACAAGGAGAAAAGGAACTATTTATGAAAACATAAGTGTTTGGGACTGGGAGTTGATACTAGGAGTGAAAAAAGTCCACTTTTTCAAGAATTTATCAGTGATAGTGTATTCAATGAATATTGCATGGCTTTTAATCACAAGTGTCAGCTCAAAATTGTTTTAATGTGTATAGAGCAGACACTGGAAGGGCTTTGGTCAGCTGTTTCACCATTTTTCTTATCTTTTCCTCCTTCCCCAAGCTACTTCAAGTGATACTTTTGACGTAAACGAAGATCCATTAAATTTTTTTGCTACATAAACCATGGATGGTGAACAGACCACTTGCTTGGCGATTTACATTTTTCTTCTTCCATTTCAGCATCAAAACTTTAATGACAGAAGAAAAACAAACACAATACTCCACGAAAACAATTGCAAAACTGAACATTAAGAATAACTTTAAAAAAAACGATCCCAGAACTTCAACCACTTAAAAATGCAACACAAAATTGAAAACAAATAAGGAGAACAAAATAAGAAAAAAATGCTTTCTATAACTATCTAAATTTCTACAAAGCACATTCAAACAATCAGTGCACAAGCAAAACAGTAAGTTCAATTTCTGTTTATAACATAATGAAACAGTTGTTTTCCTGTGTGATATTACAGTGTACATGACAAATATCACAAGGAAATCTATAGCTATATATCAAAAGTATACCAGTATATATAACTGTGGATTTCTTTGTGATATTTGGCATATAATCACCCAGCATGACAAATTATTTCCCCCTAATCATCTTTTTTATTTGCTCATAAAAACAGGAGAAAACTTGTTATGAACTGAGATTTTTTAAAATAAAAATTAAGGGTTTAGGCATTTGATTAAATTTTGACAAGAAACCGATAGCTATGAAAGGTCAATAAAACTTCTCTACTACTTCTCTACTTTCTGAAATAAAGATATAAATATAAGAGTGCCCACCCTTTTCATAATATTCAAATGGCCACGATTATTTTTTCTTTGAAGCTGTTGCTATTTTGCTGGATAACTGATACCTGCATAGGTATAAACAGCTTAAAGGAATCTTGGTAATTTAGCTTGAATCCATAAACCAGGGAATCATCAGGAAGCATTCTTAAGTTAACCTGGAATGCTACAAATGCTTCTGATGTTGCAGTACATAAAATTAACAGTTCAGAGGGATCATCCAAGTCAGCTCTTTCTCATCATATTTGTAAAGACAAGAGTTAAAGCATTCAAACATGTAGCAAGAAAAATGGTTGGTCTGATCTAAAAGCATTGGTTAAAGCCTGCTGACACTACAAATGTATTGAAAAGTATGACAAATGTCACTGCCTACATGTTAAATCGAACAACTCATGATCACAAATGAATTCTACCTTCAAATTTGGTGTTGGCAGCCTTAATGTGGTGATAATGGACAGTTGAATATTTGATTGAGATTCCAAGCTATTGAATTTCTTATGAATGAATTCCATACATGGGAATGATTCTTTGCCACTTTGTCAGCCATCTTGGAATCTCAATCTTGGTGACTGTAAAAGCAACAAACTGTACTTACTGTCCTGTATCCCAAGTTTCTGGTCTAAAGTCAATCAATGCAATTAGATGCTTTTTTCCATGAATATATTTTAAGCTTACTTCTGTGTATCATGACAAATTTCTCAATATGCTGTTTTGACTTTAGCTTCATTCAATATTCTTTTCCAAAAGCCCATTTTTATTTAATATGTATGTCAAAATATGTAATTTATGAACTAAATCAATCATAAAAAATAATAATAAATAAATAAAATAAAATAAAATAAAAAACTAGTTAATTATATTAAAATAAATGAGATACTGAATATGATAATTACTCATGCAAAGAAAAAAGTAGATGAAAATAAAAGAAGTTCATCAAATTTGATAATTGGTTTTCCTTTAGTGTATTCTTCTTCAGCTTTATCAAAATTTTGCAGGAGGTTTTCAATTATTGCTCTATTCTTATAACAAGGTATCTGTGGTTTTCCACACAGTTCTTCAACCACAGATGAAGATGCAATTTGTGGAATATTTATCCGACTAAATTTAGATTGACCAATCCATGAGCAATACCTAGTAATGGAGTTATGAGAGCAGAATCAAGGAAAACTAATTCAACACCTGCTCTGGGTGTAGTCATAATTAAGCTACTGATAGCTGATCATCACATTTTACAAGTAGGTACATTCTACATGGAAGACATCCACAAGAAAAAAATCTACAAACAAAATCTAGCAAAACAATCATTGCTAAACAATCAATTGATACAATTTTTCAGCAGTAAAAAATTAATAAAAAAAAAGAAGGTAAACTGATTCTTTGTGTTTTTTAAAAGGAGGCCATGACCACACACACACATATATAATAATCAAATATCGTTTTGGTGAGGAAAAGGGTATTTAGGGCTGCATTTGAAGAATGCCTTTGTTGATACTTACTTTTGTGAAGTTCTCTAAGATGTTTGATCCTATTTCTTATTTTCTTTCGTTGATCAAAATCTTGCGTGTTGTTGAGCTGTAAATATACAAAATTAGAACATCATAATCTTATCTTTTCATCAGTTGAAAAATGAAATAAAATAATACATTCTTTAGCTTTTGCTTTCAATACCTGTCAATGTTCCTGCACATTTCAGACTGAATTGTAAAAAAAAAAAAAAAAAAAAAAAATTATGACCACATTATCATCAAATAAAGAGAGCTTCTACTAGCTTAAAGAAGAGACTGACTCCTCAGTTTTCACCTATCAGCTGGATATCTGCTTTAACTTAAGACAATATTACATCAGAGTCATTCTGAATGAAGACCTTTCTTATGTGAAAAACAAGAAATAAATACATAAAAGAGGGTCAGATTATTTACACTGATATATACCTAGGGGATAAGAATATATTAAAAAATACTAATAATACAGACTGGCCCTATATGTGAGTGAGCTCTATAGTATGAACACATTAATGCTGTGAATAAAAGAGAAACTCTTTCTCAAACGGTTCAATTTTTCAATTTGACCTTTAAGTGTAAGTGTAAGTCAAGGTCATATCTGAATTCTTCACAAGTCACCTCCTTTTCAACTTCAATATACTCAATTCTCCCAAGCTAGACCACAGACTCTGATGGGTTTGAGTTCCTCACTGGTTTAACCACAAAATAGTATGGAAACCAGCAAACCTTACACAAACACTAATTGCAATATTCAATATCAAGAGGCTTCAGGAGGACCTTTTATTGATCCTTTAATGTGAATGGCCATATCCATTCAAATGCACATGAAGTTGCATTTTGTGGAAAGTAGTGGTAACATCAGAAAAAAGTATTTGATATCTTTTGGTGCAATTTTTTTTAACCAAACTAAGACATGCAGTGCAGAAGGCCTACTTTTAGGCTGCCTGGCATAATTCCCATTACAGTCCTTTAATTGCTTATTACAACATTTATCTTTTACACTTGATTAACTAGAAATGCATAAGCAGACTTTCTGAAAGTAACACAGCTCCTTGGCCAGGATTGAATAGAGGATGGGGGGGGGGGGGGGTGCAAGGTAAGCAGTTTTTGAAGGCCTACAAGATACAAGCAAGCAGGTTATTAAGGTAAATCCTGTAATACTCATCCAGATGTTGACAGTTGGAAAAGTAATTATAAGAGACCTCTGATGGAGTGGCATTGAAAAGATTTGATGATCTTATCTAATATTTTTCAATTCATAGGTAATTCATTAAGTAAACTGAGATAACCTTTAAACTGCACGACAGCTTGCTATTTGAGCATAAAACACTGAAGAGTAAAGGATCAATAACACCCAAGTCAAATTTTTCAGGGAAATATAACGATAAAAACTTGCCATCATTCACAGTTATAACACACATGCATGCTTCACAATATTTCCTTCAAAGAAAAAACATCTTAAAGATGTTCTTTCAATTTTACAAGCACAAATATGATAAATCCACACAGACACCTACGGCAACAACAATATTAAGTTCTGCTATAAAAACAGGCAGATATCCAAAACATCTGAATAAAAACAAAGTGCTTTCAAAATAAGACTTAATTGGAAAGTACTGGACAAATAAGACTTGTGCCCTTTCATGTTGGTGGATGGTCTGTAGTGGGACAACCAGCTGCCAAAGCAAGAGCAACAGCAGACAGGTAAATGTATATCTGCCAACCAGCCAAAATTATGACATTACTGGTAATTCTATGATGAGAACCAAGGAGCTGGATGTGAAAGGATGCCAAAAAGCAAAGTACTAAAACAAACATAATGGTTGTACAGCCAAGATATATGCAAGTTTCATATAATATATCAACAAACTTTCCCTAAATCAATAAAGCAGTGTAAATTTTCTGATTAAAATATATAAAATAACTCCACAAACATTTGCTTACAAGAACCGTAGTAACTTATTGCTTCATCATGGTACCAAGACCAAATGAGCAGACATTATAAGTAACTGATGGAAAGCCTGTTGGTTCAACTGATAATAATTTTGACAAAATTGCCAGGCAGTTAGAGAAAAGGACTGAAACACATAAGAGCAAGTAAAATCACAATACACAGTGAATGGTGTGTGGGCAGGCAGTTGTGTAGATTCAAGCTACTGGCTTTAAAACCAAATTTCAGCTTCCAGACTTGAAAAACACTGCCAAAATCAACACAATCTCAGCATCTGTGGGATAAAATGGAAGCTCAATTTTGGCATATTGGTAAAATTTTCATAATTTCATCTTAAAATCTAATGTTCCTAAATGTTTTAAATGCATACATTCAACATTTCAGGAAGGAAGAGATTAAAAATAATAATAAAAAATAAAAAAACATTTACCCATGTACATACATATACAATAAGGCACATGTACACATGTTTATGCACCTGTACATGTTCTCATACACTACTGTTTTTGTTGTATATTTACCATTCTCTGGAGGACATCCTCCTCATTAATCTCATCCACATCCCGATCATCTGCCATCTTGTTCTCTGAAATCTCTTCTGCTACTGTGTCTGTCACTGCCCTGTCAACTTCAGCCTGTTGAATAAACAATGTCAGTCATCATATCAACTTCCAATTTTCTGCTACTATATCTTAGACATAACATTCTGAAACCAATAATGTTCAATATAACAAACGAACCACTTGCATGAAAAAACATTGTCTTATCTATGTAAGAGTGTTGAAAATATATCACTTACTGTAATATACAAGTGTTCTTATTTCTGATTAAGAGGATATGTGAATAATACACTTAGAAATCAAGAATTACATTTACCATACACACCTTATCTAAACTTCAGAGATGAAGCTATGTGTATTCCTGATATAACTCCAAATTTTAAAAACAAATTTGTTTTGTAACTAAACATCTTTCCCCCCTCTGTCACAGCCATACAGAGAGGGTTGGAATCATCTTTCAATTGCAGATTTACATGGTTTCCCAACTATGTGTGGTCTTGGTTCACATTCAAGTGACATTTACAGGTTTATACTTTTATTCTGGGCACCTGCCAGTTCAGAGTTTCTGCAGTTTGCAATTAATTTTCACAAGGAAAAAATGCTGTTTGATTATATATAATTATATATAATGTGTTTTAAATATAGTCAGCTACCCTTTTCTTTGACTATATTGCTAAAATGCAAAAAAAAAAATATATATATATATATATACATCATTAAATCAGTTAATAAAAAAGATATCAAAAGAAAAGTGCTTTTTTAGCATTCTTGAGTGATGAAGAATGTTAGAAATTCATGAAATGTTATTTCATTACAGATTCTGCATAAAGAGTTGTTTTTTATTTTTAAAAATTTCCAAATTTTCCATACAACAGTATCAATTGGTTAATAATAACAAAAAAGAGAGTTCGTTATGATGAAGAGACGACCACAGCAACATGACAGAGAAAATCAAGGTAAACAAGGTTTGACATCTGTTTTCAACTTATCACCCACACAGGAGAACATAGCTGAGAGTAAGAGACTGACTGTGATTTTCCAGACATGCATACTTGTATGCCCACTCAAAAGCATGCAAGTTTGCCAGGTAAAAATGCTGAATACAGATCTACAAACCAACCGAAATGGGATTTGCCATGGATGCCACCTTGCAGACCACTCACTAACTAACATCATACCAGTTAAGGAGCTTACATGATGATTAACATTATAGAGATAGCACTTACAGGGTTGCCAACATTATGAGGACCAAAAATATTCCTATTTATCACTTATCATGTTATCAGCAGAGGAATAACACCTGACAACAAAGGGAACTGACAGTCAAAATAAATATAATACTGGTAGCTAGGATATATCTAAACTGTGCAGAGAGTTGGCAACCTCTCAGTAAAGCTACTTAGCCCTTAATGAATGTGTTCAGATTCTGGAGTGCATGAAACAATGCCTTTCCAACACAACAGCAGCATTATATCATGCAATACAGTAAACTGACAGAATCTCCTCTCATGATCAATACTCTAGATTCCTAAAATAACCAATATGATGATGGATGGTTGTGTGCTGTACTCTCTATCACAGATACATAAATACACAAGGACATATACAATTTTTGTCTAAACGATTATAAGAGTATACAGTGTCTGTTGAATAGCAGTGTTATTACATCTCACTGACCAACAGTCATTGACAGCAATCAATACATTCTCTCTGGAAAACAGTACTGACAGTATTGACCTGCACTATTTTTATCAAAATCTGCACTATTCTAAAGGGCATTGGCTTTGGCATGCACCTAAACATCTGAAAATGCATCAGCTTTGATCTTAAGTTAAATAGTAATTAGTGACTGGCAATGATATAACGATTGCACTGCATGCCTATTGGCACCAACAAAAAATCTAACAAAAACATATATATCAGTGATAACAATAGCAATAAATTCAAACATCACCTGGAAATAGTGTGCTTTTTTAGTAATATTCCTCCTCTAGAGTCTCACCAGCTGCTAGCACCTTTTTATCCACGCTCCAGCACGGTATTACCTGTGTATTATTTTCAGACTACAGGGAAACCACAGGCAGGACTAAAAAGCAGGCCAAGCCAAATCAGAGGCATGTGGGAGAAGCCTCCAAGAAATGCTGTTACCATATATGTCTGTCTATCCCGGGTAATCTGACAAGTACCTGGATTGACCTGTGACCTCTGACCTTTCCACACTATCTCACTACTGGCTGTGATGATCATGTTGGCTGGGTGAAATGCAATAGCAATCAGGTGGGCAAGCACACCACAGAGAATTGCCAGACACCTACTCCACTTTCAAAACACCAAGGGATGTTGAAATAAAGCAAGGTTCTAACTTAATGGTAATGCCCTAACACTACAGAATTCTACGAGTTAAAAATACAAATTCTTTCTCTTCACCAAGAAGTAGTTTGAGTGATCATGCCATTGACAAACTGCAAAGCAATCATTTTGCTATCATTTTGCAAAATTCTGTTTTCATTTATGAATGGTATTTTTGAGGTGAAGAGTGACTGCATCTTGCATAACATTCAACCTTCAGATAGTGAGAAAATGCACACCTTAAATCCAGAATATTCTCCTGAGCACATATACAAGTGTTTATGTATTGGCTGGAAAATTCCCTAGGTCTGAGTATTTCATGTATAACATTCCCAAAAAATATCTTTGGTCCTTAACTGTCATCTAGATAATATTTATCAAAACAAACAAACAAACAAACAAACAAAAATAAACACACCCAATTTGTGCTTCCCAAAGGAATTGTCATTATCTCTTAACTACATCTGCATGCAATCAGCATGTACATTATACACCTGTGTAGTGCATATACAGCATAAATCAATATTTTACTAGACTGCAGACTGAGCACCCACAGAGCACATGCTGCACGTGATTTCTCATATTCTTGAGCTGCTCTAACATCAAATGCCCTTCAACTTTATATAAGAAAACCTAGGGCTAGCTTACGCTTTGATGACAAATTTGCCTTTCTACCTTTTTCTAGAGAAAAAAGAAATGCACTGACATACCTGGATGGTCAATAAGTTCTGACCACTGGCCCAAATGATGAAAAAGTAAAAAGTCACTGAAGGCACATCTAACCACTCAAAGAGAGATAATATTTTACTTCCCAGTCCAGCAGATTATATCACCTTCCACCTACAGATTTGTCTTATTTCATGCCAGGATTAATCATCAACTGACCAAGAGCACTCTGGCAGCCACTCTGCAAGAAAATTACCAGATTTATCCACGATACCCCAAGTACACTTGGGCAGGAAAAATAAATACTGGTAATCTGCATCATGGTGGATAATGAGGGCGACCTTTTGGAATGGCGGGGTGTGTTAAATGAGATGTTATTAAGGCAAAAGCATTTGTGTCATAACTCTTGTTGAACATACCTTTATCCTTGCTTAAAAATCAACTGTAGATCTGAAAGTTATTAGCAATGCTGCGGAAACATTCTTTGTAAAGTTCATCTGAACTGTTGTTTAACATATTTCACCAAGAATCCATTACCAAGGGATTCTTAGTTTCTCCTCTAATGTAATTATGAGCAGGAACAGCCCAGCCTGTAGCTCATATTGCACAGGTAAAGACGAGATGACTTATGACTTTGTACCTTTAAGTGGGAGATGAGCCAGTAATGCCTGCACTTTGTACTTTTCTAAACACATGAATAATTTTATCAAGTTTTTTTACACTATTCATACAATTTACATTTAACCAAATTCTCTTTTAGTATAGAAAAATGGCTTTGGAGAGTAAGTCTGTATTCAAATTAAGCTCATATCAACAGAAATAGTCATTATATATGCAAACAAAGCAATGGTCTGCCCATCATCAATTCAAATAATTACATTTTGCTTTTTATTTAAAACATAAAAACAGGAAGGTGTTCATTTACTATTGCCATGCCACTGATGTCGGTATGCTTTGCTGACATCATTTAGGTGAAATTAAACTTGATATTAGGAAATCTATAGTGAATAAAAGTAGTTAGCAGGAAATGGAACGTTCCCTGTAAATGCCAAGGATCCATAGGGCTGACAGGATTAGAGGAAAACAAATACTGCACATTCAAGTGCAGCCTAACACTGACAACCTGATCAGGGACATGTATTAAACAGAACAACCTCTGTATCCAACTGTTACTTGGAAAAGATAATCTTAAAAACAGAAACAAAACTGAGGTAGACACCCCCTATGAATCCGCAGACTGCTACAAAATTTGATTTGACGGTGAATCATCATCCATAAAAAAAGACTTCACTTCTCATGCAGATGCAAAAACCATAATATAACGACGGAAATTATCACAAGAAAACATCTCTTCTTTGGTAATATAATTGTATGATTGGTTTCTAACTTATTGCTGCATTATCTTGGTTGTAATAACTATGTAATAGGAATGAACTGTCCTATTACTCTGTTTCTCCGTGGGATTGTGATAGAGGGTCATGGGGTCCTACCATCTCGCAGTAAAGGTCAGACAATCAGTATGATCAATAAAATTACAGATGCTAATCATAGGGCACCAGATGAAAACCATTAAAGCCTTGAGAACAATTTCTTACACAGAAAGATGGTTAATGGAGATGATGGGATAAGATAGCATAGAAAAGTATGAAGAGAGAATAAAAGCTAGAATGTAAAATGTATTTACATCTAGAAGGTGTCACACTTTGACAACCACAAGGGTGTGTGAGTTGGTTAGGACAGGGTGAGGGGACATGGATAGGTATTAGTAAGGCCAGTCCTAATGACTTCTTACCAAGTGCTTACTATATAACAAAATGAAAAAATAAATACAATACTGGAATTATGAGGTAATAATGCAATGTTCCTATTGTTGCGGGACACTGTGACCAACCCAAGGTCACTGACACTCATTTCCATGTTGAAGATCTGTGGTACCAATTGCAATGTCAGATTGTTGCATTATTACCTTTAAAATCTAGCATAACATTTTTATATTTTATTTTATTCTTTCCTCTTGTAATATCACTCAAATTGATGAATCAGACCATTCACTCTCTTTCAACGCTTTCTACATAGCTTGAGGCAGAAATATAGTTAAAGGAGTATTAGGTGGTTAAACAAAATTACATAATTCACTAGCACTGCTCAACTTAGTCAAAAACATTGTGAGAGGAAATTTTTTTTTTTAAGGGGGGTGGATAACATTGTGCTTGCAATGCATGATAAAGTGTTAACTTCCATAACACCTGAGTGGAAATGATGGGCATTTCCATTCAAAAAACACACTTTCTATGCTGTCATAATAATAACAACAAATTACTTCTTCAATGCTCTTGCAATATCAAAAGTGATAAAAATATCAAAAAATTATGAAAGCCTACTGGAAAGGAGCAAAGCGTTGAGATTTGAAGCAGTGGCTTAGCCACTCACTTTCCCAAGTTTGATCCTAATGCTGAATCATGCAGTGATGAACTTTACCATTTGGCTGTGCATGAAAACACACTGAACCCATGTCTTGACATTATCAAGCAAATAAACATATCACACCATGTACTGCTACTTCAGTCCTTTTACTGCAGCTTTATAAATATTATTTTTCTGTTATATTCCCATCTCAAATTAATGAGCCATTTTCTGTAAGAAAAAAACTATGTTGATGATGGTGGTGTTTTTGATGCCAATTTGTTAATGTTAATTTGAAAAAATATAGATAAATAAACTGAACACTATCTGTATTGCTTTAGTACCATTTCATCTGCAGGGAATATAATATTGTAAATCTAATTCTGAAAGAAAAAAGACTGACATTTAGTTTTCTACCTTCTGACATTTTACTGGTAAGATTTCATCTCTTTCACATCACGCACACAATGGGAGAGCTCAAAGTAATTTTGGCAAAATATTAAGTGAATATCTGCTGTTCAGTAACATTTTTCATTTTCTGTTCATGATTTGTTGGCCTGCTCTTTCAGCCCACATATAAAATTTTGTTATTTGAAAGATATTAGGTTGATAGAAATGTATATGTTGATATGTATTAAACGTTTAGTGTTCTTACCACTTTATCCTTCATTTCTGTATCTTCCTTGTTTTCCAAGTTTTGCTCACTGTCTGTGACTGCCCTGTCAACCACATCTGTGTCTGTGGTGACAGAATCTTCAAGGACACTTTCTATATTGGCACTGACACTAGGGTCCTTTCCTTCTACTGGTCTGTTAGCTTTAAAATGACAAGGGAAACTTTAAATTAATTTCAAAAACAAAAGCAATAGATACTGCTGGCAGAAAAAAGTTCAAGTCATCGACCTTATATTGCCAAAGCTGTTAAAATGTGATGAAAAAAGAAAACAAAGAGCATGATGCACTGTGGAAATTCACCATAAACATGTTAGTAATTGGGTATGAGGCTGAATTATTTCTGCCTATCTATGCAGCTGTATACGTAGTGTTTTTCTCCAGCTGTTGACTGTTATGCATAAATTATACCTTATAAAACTTTCAATTCAAACGTCTACTCATGCATTTTTTTAAAATCATTAATTTTAAAACAACAGACAATACATGTGGTGTTCCCACAGAAGTGACATAACCTTTATGGGCACTGTAAAATTACCCTTTTATCACTGCCTTTTCAAGCACTGGTCCTCCAGAAAACCCCCAGTCTTTTACTTATGTGATAAAAATTTCTTAATAAACACGGCATGATAAAATCAATCAGTATTAAGAAAATATGGAATAGCTTATTTAGGACTTTTTAATATATATCACTCCACTATGCAAATTGCTGCTGCTTGAAATGAGATATAATTGCCATACATCTGTGTCTGGTGGTTTGTGTAGTATGAAACAGTTTGAACACTTATGCCATTAAATCCACTTAAGATGTGTTAGGTGCACACCTGGTAAAACCTGGCATAAAGTACATTTTGGCTGAATCACTTGATAACAAATCATTCAAGATAGCAAGGTAACAGCTACCACAATTTGATTTGAAATCACAAATGAAATAAATACAAACCTATTTTGACAATGACAATTTTAAATTGACATGTGGCTATGAATATTATCAGCCCCAGTCCACAGAAGGGTTCAGTCACAATGGAAAACATAGATACATATACATGTTCTCATAAAAATACAATCCATGTGCTATGTCTATATCATCAAATAGTAAAGTATATTTTCAAAATGACCTAGAAATGCTAGGAAGCTTAGAATTTGAAAAATACTATGATGAGGGGTAACAGTCACATATATGATAAGAGCTAACAGATTTTGTTTTTGAATCATAATTCCAAACAGTTTTATAAATGGATCTCTTTCAATAACATAAGATACAAAGTAACCTTATCTGTGTGTTGAAAAATAAAAGAATTCTACTCATGTGATTAAGGTAACTTTTAAATGCCTGATATGCTGTCCATTTACTATTATTTTCATGAGACAGTATTCTTTTTTTTTAATTAATTCTATAATTATTAAACTTGAGCACAACAGAGACTTATGTTCCAAAAAATAAGTCATCATTGATTCATTACATGAAGGAACTACAGTTGCTACCCAGTATTCATTTATCTTACTTATATAAGGAACTGGTGTTACTAAACTGAAAACAAATTAAATCTTTTGATAAAAGGAGAGAAGCAAATATATTGTCTACTGCTTGGTTTATCAAAAAATCTTCATTTTATGTTTAGAACAATATTTTTACAAAAAATAAGCACTAACAATAACTTTTTCCATACTGTCACTCACCTTTAACATCCATTCTGCAAGAGCATTTGGCCTCTCCAAATTCATTCTTGGCAACACAATCATACTCTCCTTCATCTTCAGGAAAAACTTCCATTATCTCTAATTTTGCAACACCATCCTGGAAATATAGCTTGAAATCTGCATCCTCTGTAAGTGGTTTACCTTTCTTGTACCATGTGACTGTAGGTTCTGGTACAGCAGAGAACTGACACTGTAGACTCATTGGTTTGCCATCTACGGCCACCATGTCTTTGAGTGGTTGCAGAATTTCAGGACTCCTGCCTTCTATTGGAGGCACTGAAAATTCACCAATGTTGTATGTAAATTCTGATATCTCCATTAAATGAAAATTTGTATTTCTGTTCAGTTTACAAGAACTTTCATATTTTAATTAGATTTTGACAAAAAAAAGTTTGATTTTGAACAATGAAATTAGAGATGATACATTTACCCCCCCCCCCCCCAAAAAAATATATATACTTAACTTTAAAATCAAAGAATTTCCACTTTGTAAAATTAGGACACATTGATTAAGTATATTTTATGTAGTCAGAAAAAAGTAAATATGCATTTGGGAAATATTGGACAATAAAGTAAAGCAATTAAAGTATTTCATCTATTTCATCAATACTACTAAGATTCTACTGATCTACTGCAAACTGTATCTTTTATCAATTTTGTAGAAACAAAAAACCATGCAATCTTACCTTTCAGTTTCAGATTAGCCACCGTTTCAGCCTCACCCACAGAGTTCTTAACTAGACACTTGAATTGACCCTCATCATCAGGAAGAACCTCACTAATCACCAGTTTGGCAACACCATCTGAGAAAACCTGGGTGAAGTCTGGGTTCTTTTTACTTATAATAAGGCCATCTTTGTACCATGATATGGTGGGTTCTGGCGAGGCTTCCACAGTGCACTCCAACTCTACTTTCTGGCCATCCTCTGCCACAATATCCATCAAGGATTTGGTAAAGCGTGGCAAACTTGGAGCTTGTTTCTCTTCTTCTTCTTGACTGTATTCTGAAAAAAAATGTAAAGAATGCGGTAGTATGGTACAACTGTATCAAACCCTGTCTTAAATCTTACTTGCTTGAATGCATCTTTTTAATGCCTTTTTGAATGAAACTGTGCATTCTGAAAATCAAACAAAACAAAATATGAATACCTTAAACCTTTTCAACACTGGTCCACAAGATTATTTCAACAAATGGTAATTGCCTTATTGACTCATATTTCCAGACACTACCCCTGATATTGTTGGCAAGTTTCTCCAACAGCTCCTGTATTTCTGTGGACTATCTACCCACCAATGCTGGAAGCTTAACCTTTTGCTGAAGATAACACTTGAGAATCAATGCTTTTTGGAGAATGAACTTATATGAAATATGCACTGTTTTCAATATATTCCCTTTCTAAAGTACAGATTCAGAAAAAAATTGATGTTAACCCTGAAACATTTAGTGGGAGGAAAGGCACATCAAAGACTTTTTACCTTGTGACCATTATTTGTCATAAAATAACAATATTCTATGGTCCTTTTGTTTGTTCACTTTTATCCTTCATTTTATTTCACAGACAGACATATTGGGTGCTGTACTTCTTTTGACCCCTTGTCAGAAAATTTACCTTTCACAGTAAGTTGACATGTGCTCTTTGCCTCCCCAGCTTCATTCTTGGCCTCACATGTAAACTTTCCCGTGTCGTCTGGAAACACCTCTGTTATGCACAAGACAGCCTTTACACCATCAAAACTCTGCTTAAAGTCACTGCAGTTCTTCAGGACTTTGCTGCCTTTGTACCACAGCACTGTGGGTTTAGGGGTGCCAGATACTTCACACTCTAATGAAACTTTATCCCCATCCATCACTATCTGGTCTGAAAGCTGTTTGGTAAATGCTGGTGACACCAAGTTGGGGTTATCTGGAAGAAAAAAATGGAATAATATTCTTTTTACTTCTAAATTAAGGGATAATAATGTGAAAGATAGCTACTGTCTATGAACCATCTGGAATTCACAGGAACAAAACAACCACATTGTTAAGCACAGTTATGATTGAAATATCTATTGGAAAATAATATATAACAGTTGTCCACTGGTTATATCCTTTGGATTATTTAGTGTACCTTTATATATTGCTTTCATTCCTTATATTAATAGTATATGTCTCAACTACTTTCAGCAGTGTATCTTCCCAAACATTTATAAAGATTATTGCTAGTCCATAATCTGATTTATCAAGCTAACATTTAATCCGAGTCGCTGCCTACAGGTGCCTCTATAAATAACACTGTCATACATTTAACCTTCTGACACTATTAGCCAATCATGCCACTAGTTTGAACCACATGAGCAGAGATGACAGAGATGAGGCATCAGTTACGCTCTTCAGAAGACACTCGCCAGATTGCAGCACAGCCACAGGGACGTGCAGGACTGATCGCAGTAACACAAATCCTAGTACAGCGCCAAATATCACATTCCTGGTCAAGGGTAAGTTACTGCCTCTGTTTATTCACTTTTCCCACCGGTTCTTATCCCCTTCTATAATCAACTCAGATGTTTTTGTTTCCACACTGCTCAACACTTTACCTAATATCATTTGGGTTAATATGGTTATTGTTATATTAGTTTTATACTCTTGGCAGACAATCATCCCCACCTTTTATGATCTACAGTGTTTAACTATATGCTTTGTTTAATCCAACATAATATTAGATATTTGGCAGCTTTACATTACATTACATTACGTAGGAAGTGATTTCATTGCCCCATTCCTTTATCTATTATCAACTCATAGATCATAGATGTAGACCTGACAAAAATTTTCTGAATAAGCAAATTGGTTTGAAATATTTTTCAATAGATCAATTACCTTTGACAATCATCTTGGCAGTACTTTCTGCCTGTCCGGTTTTTGTATTGAAGGTGCACTTGAATTCACCACTTTCTTCTGGGAAGACCTCATCTATCATCAGTGTAGCTGTTCTGCCATCAAATGTCTGCTGAAAGTCCTTTGATGGTTTGAGTAATTTCCCATTCTTGTGCCAGCTTACAGAGGCATTGTCCGCATTCAGGCACTCACATTTAAAGGTGGCTGTCTCACCATCTAGCACCGAGAGGTCTGCTAATGGGCATGAAATGGTTGGTTTGAGTCCTGCAATTAAGTTTTTTAAAAAGGTTAGAAAATGGAGAAAACATTTAAACTGTAAAGCAAAAACATTGGCAAATTATATCCATTATTATATCCACTATGAAAAAAAATTAGCACATAGAATCACATTTTGAATTTCTAGACAATTTATATATGGTCATGGTGATATATCTTAGAAATATATGTCCGAAATCATAACTTCTTCCAATATGTTCAGAAAAGTTTAAAATGGTGAACCTTAGTACTCACTCACCAGCGTCTTTCAATTTTTCTTCAAAAATGTCATCTTTAACATCTTCCTCAGATGCATCTTTATCACTGCCATATCCACTGCTTCTCTTGGAAAGATCTCTGACTGCTTCAGCAACATGTAGACCTTCAGCTGTAGAGCCAATTTCTCTTTTCTGTTGACTATCCTTTGTAGAACCCTCTTCTTTTACTTGGACATCTTTACTGACAACTTCATTTTGCCTGGATGAAACATTACAAAATTGGTTTTCTGATAACTGAGTGATTGTAGAACCCCTTTCTCCACTCACGCTTGCATCAGCAGTATCAGAAATGTCTGAAGTTTCTTTAACTTGCTGAATCTCATCATTCTGGATTTCTTTATCACTTGCTGCAAATACCTCCTTTTCTGCTTCTGTGTTTGCATCTTTGAGTTCTAATTTACCAGTTGGCTTTTCTTTGTGAATGGTGCTATGCATTTCCATATGTGATGCTGTTCCCTTGGAGACAGATTTAGAATCTTCTTCTGTGAGAATCTCCTCATCAATAAATTCTGTTCCACTTTTAGTGCGATACTTGGTGCTTACTTTAGTATCTCGCTTCACTAAAAAGGATCCCTTTGAACTGAGTTTCTTCTTGGTGATAACTTCTTCTTTTTCTTCTATCTTTTCACCATCCGGTTCCTCCTTCTCTGTGATGACTACTGTATCCTTTTCCACTTCATCCGACTGACTGTCAGTCCTTTTTTGCTTGAAAGACATGGACACTTTCTTCAAACCTCCATCCTCTTCTTTACATTGTTCTATGGTGATAGTTCCATCATTTGACTTTGTGACCTTCACATCACTGGTTGTATCTGTGAAATCTGGAAGTAATACAATGTTATTTTCTGTTTCGTCACATACCTCAGATGGCACTGCAGCTTTTTCATTGACCAAGTCATTAGACTTTTCTGTTTCAAGAGAGACTTGAGCTTCTCCAATATCTGTGGCTTCTTGAAGTATAGGAGAAAATGGAGATTTTTGTTTCTCTGTTTCTTTTTTATTATCTTGTGGCAAGTGGCTGTTTGCTGTCACATTTGATACTTTCTTAGGTGCATCAGCTTTGACTTCCTGGACTATAGACTTCCTTGCGGATTTTGATGTTGTCTGCTCCCTGGGGCTTATCTTTGAAGAAGTATCATTTGTGGCAGACTGAACCTTTCCATCTAAAAGAGTAGGATATATTATTCAACTTACTTGACGAGCTTACAAATTCTATACTCATTTCAACATTAAGCACCCAATGTATATGTCTAAGACAATGAATATCAAACATATCCTATTATTCAATTTTAACCATCTTAACCATAATCTCAATGGTTTGGTCATGTTAACAGGCAAAGAAACTTAAGAAATGATGCCAGGTGTAGTATTTAATACTAAATTCTCTGTCTGATTCTTCAACATAAATCCACCAACTCATAAATAAGTCATGAAAATCAAGGAGTTCCTTGTTAAAATCAATTTGGCTTGTATGGATAATTCAGCACAAGAAGATACAATTAAAATTTAACATTACCCCTTATCTTTGCCCTCAGTTCCCGCATTGCTGCTCTTATTTCTCTCCTCTTATCAAAATCACGTGTTTCTTCAAGCTGGAAAATATTTCAGTATAGTCCTTTACACAAAGTATACTTCACTTGTATCATGGAAAACTAACAAATGGGGACAGCACAGCCACTATATTTAACCCAAGAACAAAAATTTGTCATATGGTTATAAAACATCCTGATACCCTTTCACCAATATTGGTATTTACCTTCAACATAATTTTTATCATTGCCAAATTTTCCAATGCACCTCAAATTGCAGTATTTTATTTCATAGACTAGTACTTGCACTTGATCTGAATTCAACTACTGCTTTAGACTTAAGCACCTTCATGGTTGAGAACCATTTTATAACTCCTTTATAAATTCCATAAAAAAAAGCTGGCTTGAAAGAAACCAAAGTCAACTAAATTCTATGAAACAATTTAATGGGATATAAATGGAAAACTGCCAGCAATGTACTACAGCAAGAGACTGAAATTTGAACCTGATCTTCTAATCATGTTAACTCATTTGATACAACCACCTGCTGCTAAGTAATTCATTCCCTACAACTACATGCTGTGGATCAATAAACAATGCTGCCTAAGAACTGTCTTGAAAAAATATATCTTAAAAATATACCCAGTTATTTATACCTTACCACCACAAAGAGCAGAAAATACCCATGTAAATCTATACCCAAGCAAGCTTTAACTACACATATACCCTTTCAACTACAACGTTCTCTATAAAACTACCTTTTATCTGCTAACTTCTCAAAAAAAAAAAAAAAAAAAAACATTATGTTAGTTGTGAATGTAAGTGAGTACATATGACACCACCTAAAACTTAGGATAAAAATGAAATCTTTCAAAAATAATTGCATAAATGTACAGGTTGTAAATTACTGCCAAAAATGACTCCATGCAGCAAACTTTAATCATTCATCCATTCAAAACACTGTTTCTAGACACTTCCTCTGGATAATTTCTAAAAATATTTTTCTGCTTACCACTAAAATAAATGTCAAGCCTCACTTCAATTATCATTAAATTCCATGCTTTATTTTGCCTTCTGTTTTAGAATGGCAAGTTCCAGCATAAAATATTTAACAATCTCAAAACAATTAATATATGAAGTCCCAACAAATTAATGAAGCAATAATTACAGTACATCAAGATATACAAATGCTCTACTGGGGTCTTTCAATTTATACCATGGAACGTTTTTTAAAAATAACACAAACTATTATCGGAGTTCTTTTTAATGATGGTCAAAATGATCTGCTAAAAACTGAATACATACTCTACAAAGATATTTTCTGCATAATACTGTAATAAGAATATCTAACAAGAAAGACTATCAGATGTTACAGTAAAGATGAAATGAAAAAGTGACAATAAGGAAAGAAATACTGATACCTCTTTGTGAAGTTTTGTCAGTGTATTCCGCTAAGAAAAGAGTGAAAACAGAAACAATGCTGTAAGATATTTACAACAAAAGACAGTGAATAATGCACAAAATAAACAAGAGCTTAGGTTTAACATGATAAGGCACTATTTAAGGAAACTACCATTTAAGCAGTAAAAAGATAGCAAACATTGTTAGGCTGCAACAACAGTTTTTTTAAGGAAACAAGAGCCTACAATTCCATTCTTACAGGCACTAAAATGTTATCATCACAGATCGGAGATCACAATTACTTGATGCAACCTCCAGTAATAGAAGATACACACCAAGGGAGGCTGAAGAAGGTAAACATATTATATTACAGATTAATTCAAAAGATAGAAGAAAGAAGCTAGAATGACAAAAGCACATGTTTTCATAAGTGTTACCATCTTTTCCAGTGTTTGTTCATCTTGGATGTCCTTTACATTCACTGAGCTGATTTTTTTCGTATCTTGGTTGGCCTTGTTTGTAACAATGGAGACAGCACTGGATTTTCTTGCTGGCATCTGCTCAACTGTTTCACCTGAACATAGAGGTTGCAATGAATCTACTTGTGCATATCTAAGAATCAACTTAAATATCACTAAACTGTCAGAAAGCATTTTGTGTACTTCTCCAAACTTGCCATGCATGGGTAGTTACAAGCTTCAGGCCATGTCCATGCTGTTTGTATTCAAGGGCCAGGCAACCAAATAATCAAGATTAAATCAAATTTTTAAGGATGGCCAAATGTACAGATCTGTAATAACACTGTTTTTGGCCAAGCACTGAGAGTGACCAATCATAAATCAAGGACTTAAATCTACCCTCTCAATTAATCACAAAACAAAGCAGAAATTCCCTTCCTTTCATTATACAGTGTAAAAACAGTCTTCTATCTATGGAAACCATGTTTTGCAACCCTGCTCTTTAAGTAAATATTGTTGCTTTGAAAGTTTCTGGGAGAATAATTACCTTTCTTCCTCAGTCCCCTCAAAGCTGCCCTGATCTTCTTCTTTACAAAATAATCATCTGTAGCATTGAGCTGAAAACAACAGCAAATGAAGTCTAAGGGTGATAACTATACAATATATGATATCTATTCTAATTTTCTAAATATAAGCTAATAAAAGAAGATTGTATAGCACATATAAGAATGTGATGCTTCATGAAATGCAGTTATTTTGAATTGCTGTTAATAACTAAAATCTTTTTATACCGTATATAACCAATACACATCTAATAAACAGAGAAATTTTTATCTAAGATTTCAATTTTTTGTTGTAAAATGTGCATATCCTCTGTGTACAAGAAGTCTGCAGCACTGGAAGGTCACACCAGTTTACTGCCCTTGTCACCTGTGTGACACTAATATAAAACAACTACCTAAATCACATCACTTCTCTGTTACCTTAAAATCTGGAATTAAACAGCTCAACAACAACAAAAAAAAAAGACATAGCCAAAAAACTATGTAGTTTTTGGTTATGTCTTAGGTTTTTTTAACATTTTGACTTAACCACACATACCAGTAAAATGATGCAAATATTTGGACCATGTTAAACTTTCAAACTCTGCAGGGACTCTTGCTGAGTGCAATCAGGTTAACTGAAAGACACATTTCCTCTTGTTGCAGAAGTACTGGTATAATCACAAGCTTTTCTGCATTCTACTTTACATCAAGAAGTTACATGTTAATCTGTTAAACTAATTGCATTCAGAGAAAGTCACCATGGAGTTGGATCAATCTACATAGACCAATGGCATCAATGGGAATGGGGTCTAATTGTCAAATTGGATGTCAATTCTAATGGGTAAACAGAAAGGGTTAAATGTGGAGCAAAAACAAATAGGGCTTATCACATTTGGTGGTATACCTTATGCTGCAGACATTACATATTGCACTGCACATCAAAGACAGCCAACAGTGAGAAAGGTTACACAGCATCCTATGCATACAGCAAACCAAGTTACCTCCATATGTGATACACCCAAATACTCACTGTTAAGAACAGTATATATGTAAGGGACCTTATAGTCAAGATCATGCACGTGTGTGAATATAGGGATGCACGCACGTACACACACATACACACACACAGCAAAAATAAACCAACTTAAAAAACACAATTGTGCTAAAAATACCACTTTCAGATGCATGAACACAAAATGTCAATAACAGGAAAGAGTGCACTTTTTATGGGGAAGCATTTTATCAAGCATCTCACATGGGATCAACTTTCCAGCCATAAATTGGCAGTGTCTCCTTTTTAATAGTTAAAAGGTCTTTTTTAAAGTGCAAGCCACACTGAAATGATTAAATGAAGTTCTAAACAAGGTCAAATAAGAGGAGGGTCAAAAAAACTGTTTATCCCCACTGACACAGGTGACTGGTTAGATACAAGAAGGTGACATTTCAATCCATCATAACAGTGTAACAACCACTCATTTGTCATGCAGGTGCTCTCCAACATCTCTCATGACACATGCTGAAATTCTGCAACAGAGCAATCTTAATTACCAGCCAGACATGTATATCCCTTGAAGCTTTTCTCCCTCTTACACAACAGACTTTACATATTAGCTTGTCTATTGTTGGCATAGAGCAGAATGTGGTTACCACACTAGACTGAGACCAAGTATCAGATCAGATGTGCAGGCTGAAGATAGCATATGACTGGGTTAATGGACATGGAAATCACACTTGCTGTGGGGAATGCTAAACAGTCTTTATCCTTTAAACTTTCCATCACAGCATAGTAGGCACACGCATAAACAAAATACAAGCAATGACTAATATGCCTATTCTGTGATATGATCAACAGTTATGGTTTTGTAGTGCTTATATATTTATAAAGAAGATATATGAGAAAAAGACACAAGACATGATTAAGGGACTTATAATATTATGAATCTTTTCTCCATTACTTAATGCATACATTCCAGACAATTACTGTAATATTGTCTTGCATAGATGCAAATAAGTTCTAAGGCTGACTGTCAAGTGATGGAAATTTGAATACAAGGGCACGACATGATAAATGTCTATTTCTATAAAAAATCTTATCAATGTTGGCATGAGCATCATCATTTGAAGATGACAGATGTAGAGACATATCAATCTTCAACAAATGTTTACACTACTTCAAAGCAAATCCTCAGAGTGACATTTTCTTAAAGAAATTTACCAATCTTGTCAGCTCCTCCTCGTCTTCAATTGCTTCATAATTCACCTCCATTGCAGTTTCGTTGGACGCTTTTTTCATTTGCTCACTCACTGTCTTCTTAGATCTGTCCTCATTTTTCCCTCTATCTTCCTTCTTGTTATTGTTATGGCTCTGGCTGCTGCTTCCTGAAGAAAACCCAGCATACATTTGAGATTGTATTTAAGAGTTCCCAATTTGAAATCTGAAACTGTAAACAGTTCTTACCTCTTTGTTTTATTGGACCGTTGGAGGCCTGTTGCTGCTGGGGTCAAACTCCTACAGTTTCCACAACTGTTTTACTGTCAGTGTAGTTAAGATTTGTGTTTACCTTATCCCCCCACTGGCTGTCATCTCCAATTTGTGTGCACAATTACATCCCTCAAGTGGCTAAAACAGTCACACACATTTTTCTTGCCCTACTATCTATCAAAGATTGGGTCTACAAGTATAGCAACCACTGCTTGAACATCCAGTAATATTTCTACCACATGTTGTACACCAAGAATGTGATATATTCAACTTGAACTTAGGTCAAGTACAATTCAAATGTTTTCTTAGACAAGCAGACTATATGTAAAAAGATGAAAAGATTAATTTTTTACATTATTTACTACCCAAAAAGAAAGAAAGAAAAAAGAAACAAAGAAAGAAAGAAAATAGAACAGAAAATTAGAAAGAAAAAGGTTGATAAAAATAAAAAAAATCTTCTGTAACATTTTGCAGAGATGAAAGGCTCTGGACATTAAAATAGTTATGTGGTAACTTCTCAATCTGTCAAAAGCAAGGCATAACATCCTCACAACTCCTTATTTCAGTTATCAGTAGTTGGAGCAAGTGTTAGATTTGTAACCCAAGTTCCATCACAATTAAATGGGATCAGCTCAAGGTTTGCTATTCTGGAAAATAAAGGAGCCTTGATCTAAAATCTTTTCCTCAAGTTTGGTATTCTAAAGAGAAAAAAAAGCTTCGGTATTCCCAAAAAAGTTTATTGATGTGAATATCTGCATAATCGGGGCAAGCACTAACCTCCGTGTCCCCAAAGAAACATATTTGGGAGGCTCTCTCATATTTGCACTTTTTTTGTGCTTTGTGCAGATTTGGCGCATAAGTAATTCCTACAATTTATAATGCAACATAATGTGTAACTCCCCCTACTATGCTTTGTTGTAATAATGCTCAACGTACGTGCAATGAGAATATCAACTTTTGCATTTCGTGAAGAATGCTTTGACTTTTTAAACATTAGTACTCACTGGCCATTTGTTTACTTTACTTTGTTTGCTATCTTTAAGCTCTATCTGTACTGGAATAGCCAACTTTCAGAACTGCAAACCTTCGGGATAGAGAAGTGCACCCCAAATATATCCTTTGCAGGGATAAGCAGGCCTGTACATCCACTAGTTCTCAACTAAAATGAACATTTCTTGCTTACTCCTGTCTCAGATTTTAATAACTCTCTAAAAATGCCCAAGTTTTTAATCTAGATGCCAGGTTTAAGGCAATTGTAACACAACCAAATGCTTTTTACTCACTTCTTTAGTTCTGCAGACCACACACATTAATCAGAAGAGTTTATAAAATACACAGTGGCATGCACAACTTAAAATTATACTTAGTAAGTGTTACTAGATGAGCTGCATGTGATACATTAGGGCATGCTATAACTTCATCTATCTTAAGGTAAAACCCTGTCACCCACAAAATAAAGACAGTGATACTTGTGCATGTAAATTTACCTAGACAAAATAACAAGGACAAAATAAAAATTACTATTAACAATAAAAAGATTTTTATGGACTGATCCATTTAACTATTGTAAAATTTCCTACCTACTCCACTTGCTCCTTACACCACCATCTTATGGTTTATGCACAGGAATTCAATGTGATCAAGCAACCAAGCTACGGTAATGGACCATGGTGTCATGTCAGCTTGGTTGGTAGGTTAAAAAATGCCCCATGCTGAATATTATCCCAATAATCATCAAAAAACAAAACTTTTCTTTAAAAAATATCTTTCTGTGTAATTTTCATAGGTGAATTTTACGGGAGAAAACCTAGCATTTTACAACAAGTAAATGTAAGATGTTTTTAAAGAATAAAAATTGTATGATGTAAACTCTTCTCATATACAGTCTCCTCAAAAGAAAAAGGAACATCATACATGCAAAATTTTATCAATAGTTGAATTTTATAAGAACAATTTGAATCCCGATTCTGATATGTTAAGATTTAATCACTTCATTAATTAGACCTTCTCAACCAGGTGTACAGGCAAAAATTTATCAATAGTTGAATTGTATAAGACCAATTTGAATCCTGATGTTAATATGTTGAGATTGAATCATTTGCTAAATTAGACCTTCTCAACCCACATTACTGCCATTTTGACAGCTAGGGGAAATGGAAAATACGCATGAAAAAAGTTTCCAAGGTAAGACTTAAATTTTCAAATACAAAATCAACTAAAGCTGGTTGATAGGTATCTCTGAGATTCATTGCAATTAAAAGCTACTACCAACTTCTCCCCAAATCCTGTGATCTAAGAATAATCATTAATTGACAATATTTTAATGCTTTTCTAATCCAACTTTGTTGTGTCTTATGCTATAATATATTAATATCAACAGTCAACTGTGGGAAGTATTACAATGCTGTACACGTAACATTGAACAATTACCTGGGCCATTAACATCTAACATTCTGATCTTTCCATTTAAACATACCAAGCTTCTAAAATGCCCACCAGTAGCATCTGCTTAATAACTACAGCATACTAATGAGAAAGACAAAATAATTCTACGTATAGCAAAGTAATACATGGCACATGTATGGTCACTGACAAGTAATTTTATATAATTACAATCCAAAATTTGTTTATCAAAATAAAAAAAGATGAAAATCAAGAATTAGATCCAATCACTCTGACCCATACATGTCAGTATCTCCATGGCCATGGCCTTGTGTATATATTCTCCTTTTGCAAATGGGAAGAAACAAGATATATATTAGATGCTGCATTTTGTAAGGTCAAAAAATACAACCCTAAATAACTTCCTTTGAAGGTCAAAGGTGTTTAAAGATAGCAAGCAACAACCATTATTTCAAAGAAAAATATGAGACAGTTTTAACACACCTTTTCCACTATATCACCAAGGTATCTGGAGTGGTTCAAGATAACCTCTGACACTAAACTTTCAACATCTCTAAGATACAAGATACGGAATGCCACCACCGGATGTACTTTTATGCTAAATGATTAGGGATCAGTGCACATTAAAAAAAAAAATTGAATTGAATAGGGAGTTTTCCTTAATAAAAGCTTTTCTTTTTCAGGAATGACAAGCAAACTTTATCAAATGTGCACATTATCACACAGGATCATACTTGAAAGTAGATTTGAGTACCTCATGAATGTTTATGAGATGAAATAAAAATGACAAAATAAGCAGTTATAACTGAACTATAATTTAAATGCTTACTTCGATCTACATAAAGCTGATCTGTTAAAATGTCTTGGTTAGATATGTCAAAATGTTTTAATCTGACTTCAATTTGAAGGGAAAAATTGTTGTGTGATACAAAAGAAAATGACATTCATAAAACAAAATAATGATGGGCAATGACAGAAAATAATTCAACAACTGAAAATGCAAGTTAAAATGGACACGAGGATTGGTTAAACTTATTTGCTGTTTGTTTTAACAATAATGTGTCAACTCTAGATGACCTTTCCTTTCCAAAACATACTTGCATTCTTTCTGATAATTTTTGATCTTTTAGGTGACATGGCCATGAAACTTCAGAACTGTTGCTTGTTTAAACTTAGATGCAATGGAGATAATGTACTTTTGATGGAAAGTTGCTACACAACGAATTGCACAATTTAAATTCCACTAAATTCACACACCAATGTATCCCACTATAAAGACATTTACCCAAATCAAAAGAAATCTTGACTTCTGTCAAATATCCATTAGTTTGCATGTTCAGTGACAAGTAACTCAAATTAAAAAAATAAAAGATAACTTAATTTTTCACAAGAAACATTAGGAACTTAACTAGAGAATAATTAATTTTAAGTTGCTTTCTGCATACGGTATTTACTTTAAAGTTTTAAACATCTTTCTATTCCATTAATTTTTTAAAAGAATTATTAGTATTATTTACTCACAAAGAATACCTTCTAAAATGGACCAAGCCCATCTTCAGCTCAAGAATCTGCTTTTTAAGATTTCACAAACAAAGAAAATTGCTTTGCAAAAATATAATTAATCAGTACTGCTGGAATTCAATAATTACAGCAGCATCACTTGAGAGCCTTAATCCAATTGGTCATATGACAAAGTGCAGAACTATTACTGACTTGTGGGTAACATTGTCTCTTCTTCTGCAAAACACTGATGTCTGAATTCATGAAAAGGTAAGTCATGCAAAAAAAATTCAGCACTTACTTTTGGATTTCTCTTTTTCATCACGAATTTTTCTCAACTGGGCTCTTATTTTACGGCGTTCATCAAAATCATGACTCTCTCTTAACTGAAACAAAAGAAAATATTGTATTCAAAATGTGTGACGTTGGCTTAACAAAAGAACACATTTCAAACTTGTATTGTTAATATAAAGAGACTCAAAATGATAATGGGGCTGAATTTCATTCTTGCTTAATTAATTATTGAATCTTGGCTAAGCAAGACTCTAGTCTACCCAACATACGGGTCCACATGTGACAGCAAGTATTGGTTCTATCTTTGATCTTAACCTACAGTGGTAGAATAAAATAAATAATTCTTTGATCTGAACAGTAGCTGAATACATATATTGGATTAAACACCATGCAGAAAAACGGTGAATTTACTTGGTGTTGGATTAATTCCAAAACCCGCATCTGATGTAATATTAAATCCTTAACTGCAGTGTCATACATATGCAGGCAACTTCCACTTTAATTTGTAAAATATACCTTGCGAGATCTGAACAAGAAGGTAAGTCATGTCTGTCAACATCCATGCTCTAGTCAAATGCTATAAAATTCATGTAGTTACTGTTACAGCACATGATAATTGTAATTGTTTCAAATGATCTATGATATATATTGGCAGCAGGCACTGTAACTTGTTATATATTTATTCCAGGACCTGCATTCTGCATTCAAGTGCCAGTAAGTGTGTACTGATATTTGTGTTAAACGATATATATGCTGTGTTTTAGTCATTGAAAGATTACGTACACCTTTTATTTGTAAAGTTTATAATTGCAACTGAGGATATGAGCCTAGTTGTTTTGTATCATATGTATATATACAGGGTTCATACAGGAACATTTATAACATATTCAAGAAGTTTCAAGGACTTTTTCGGCTCTAATGAGATGATTTTTCAAATGCAAATGAGGGCAATCTACTGTCATTTATATGTGTATATACCAAAGAAAAAAAAGAAAAGTTTTTAAAAAAATGTCTTTCAACATAACATTGATAAAACATGAAAAGAATTAAATTAAATGATGTCCAAAAAGGGGATCCTCCCCTTCTTCGAATGATTGTCCACATTCAGGTGAATAACAACAAAATTTGAAAAAAAAAAATTGACAAATTGCTAAAGTGAATGATTTCAAGAACTTTTCAAGGCCATAAACTGAATTCAAAGTGCAGGGCTAAATTCTAACACTTCAGGGCTGCATAAACCCTGATATATATATATATGTGTGTGTGTGTGTGTGTGTGTGTGTGTGTGTGTTACAATTCACACAGCGGTCTACTTGAACTAATGGGATTATTTCCCTTGAAACTAGAGTTTAACTTGTTCAGTACAAATTAGTCATGTGTTTTGCTAATTAAGGGAGGTATGTGAGATAATTTTGTGACAAATCTAAATTTATATAATTTGTCTTTGGGTGTTTAATTATCAATCTATCATTAAAATTGTAGAGATGTACATATAAGAGGTGTCTATTCTTTTTATAAAATTACAATTCCTCAATAAATAGCAGAGTATTACGTCTTTGAATTGGGAAAGCCTATAAGAAAATGTGTATTTTTAATCAAAATTAAAACTCACAGGTGACAGGTTTATAGCTGTTAATTATTAATAGAGTATGCTGACCATTGTTCAGCAGCAAGGTATGTGGTCTACATAATCACATGAAGTAGGGCAAAGTAACTTTTCTCTTGCCCCCCCCCCCTCCCAAATTTTACAGATAATATCTGCATCAAACCTTTGTAGAAAACATTAACGTGTTTTGAAGTCTTTAAATGTTACCCACAAAAGGGAGATATAAGATCATCTGTAATAATTTGAACTTTGACTTAAATAAGTATGCAGAAAACATGAAAACACTGTGATATTTTATCATTATATCTACATTACAGGACAGAATTATTACTTTGAGTAAATTGGAAGGGGGCAAAAAATACATATATTCAACTGGTGAAAAAACATCCATGCACATTTTGGACATTTGTTTAAGTGATTCTTTGTCATGATGCAAAATGTTTCAAGCAAAGTTAAGTGGCACAGTGTTCTGAGGACACAATTTTCTTACCTTTGCCAGCATACATTCCACTGAACAAAATGCCAATCTGTCACTGATCTCATAACACATCATCTTGCTGGGCAGTGTAAACCCCTAAACTTGATAACTTCTTAATCTGAGAGTACAGACCAAGTCACAGACTTAGATAAAACTACATACTCTAGTCTTAAAGGCATGTTCAGAACTAGTCTAATTTAAACATATTTCAGGTGCCAGATGGGCTCTACTGATAAAGCAGGGATTTATAAGTCTGTGAGTGTCTCTAGCCTTACATGTAGACACAGAATGGGAATGCATCCAATGCAATATGCAGAGAATAGGGATAGGCTGATGACCCATAAAACAATGATAACTACCCATTGAGAGGAAGTTACAAGATTTGGTTTCATTTATAAAATGCCTGACAAAAGTGCCTTAAAGATAATGGGAAATATAATGAAAACTTAGATAACAGTTATGTGGTTGATAAACCATGATGTTTGAAAAGAGAAACTTGGGTGTTTTTATTAATTTGCTTGGCATAAAATAAACAAAACATAACTTGCAGGGCACATTCTGTTATAATGAACCATCAGCAAAAGGTTCCAAAACATTTAAGACAAAACAGCAGCAATTTTCCAACAAAATAGTTATATACAAGTATATTTCAAACTTAAACCCAGACATTTCATGTGACTTGTGCACCATAGTTATTGCAAGGGCTGAGTCAGAGGAAGATAATGTTCAGACTAAATGATGGTTTGCACACAAACCATATTCATTAGGGTCATCACAAATGTAAATATTCAAATAGCGCTTTAAGCTATAATGCCATGAGGACATGCAAGAGGTCAAAAATATATGCTCGTAAAATGAAATATATGAGTCTGTCTCTGTATGGGTTGGAAGATGAGTGTGTATGTTGACTGCTTCGAATTCACCATATTTATACTTTTGAACAGTACCTTTTCTGGACAAGCAAAACTGGAGTCCATTCTTTTTTCTCCATCAAACAAATTAGTTTGATCTTCAAACAAACTGAAGATTCAGAATGGTATAATACCAACACTAGATCCAGCCTAAGCTTAAGTGCACATTTGAACAAGAATTTTACCAGGTCTAAGACAAAAATAAAGGTTTAAGCCCCCCCCCAAGAAAAAAAATGGTCTGTGACAAAAAACAAAGGCTTTATTTTATGGATACCCTTGATGTGCCAAGGAAAATCAATCTACATGTATGCAGTACCTGAGCATCATACATTTAGTTGTCTTAACTGAATATTTTCAAAGTACAAAGACTAAAAACAAATATATGAATTTTTATGCAAACATGGCACATTAACTTATTAAGAGAATAAATGATGTATTTTAGTCTACTAAATGGGAGGTAGTTAACTCTAACATTTAGATCACAGGCAAGATTAGAAATGCTTAACACCTAAAATTTTGTCACATCAAGTGTCAAAACTGTCAAATTAGTTCCATGAGGCCAGTTTTAGTGCTGTAGAACATCAATCAAGTATAATCAATAAGTATTAAGGACCACAGTTTTAGTCAAGTAAATTGATATGAAAATAAGATTTCTAAGCAGGGATGGGGATTTCAGTATTCAGAAAAAGATTAAACATCTTGAACATGAGAAAAATAAGCAGGTTTAATACAGCAATTGTTTAAAATTTAATATTGAGATTCTCCCCTTACTGCAACTGTATTATCATTTCTTCAATTTAGTGTTCAAGATGTCAAGTTTTATGATAAAATAATGCAATCATCTATGGCCACCATGAAAATAATTTTGTATCCTCCTAAAATACAACTGATTTTAAAAAGCTTTCAAATAAAACCAACATAAGGGCATTAAAATTAATAAACAAAACCCTGATGAAAATCATTATAAAAACAAGTATAATGCAAAAGATAAGGGTTCTGCATCTGGGCAAATAGTGCCAAGAAAAAGGCACAAACTAGTGTTAAAATATTCAGTTAACTATGGTGACTGTTGTTACCTGGAAGGCACCAGACAAAGGCCATGGGGCTAGCAAGGTAACTGAAAATCCTTTCAAAACAAAATTTCCAAGGCAGGAATTATCAACAGTAGTGTGGAAAAATATTAATGTGATATCTTATACAAACTCAAAGAGTGTCTGTAGAATATAATTTATAAAGACTGTTTTTAATGGTTTTTAATGGCATACCTTTTACTTCTTTAGCATCTTTACAAAGATTTACACCTGAATGATAGGGAAAGAGAACATTACACTGAGATAGTGAAAAATCAAGGGAGATTTTGCAAGATTTGGAGGAGAGAGCATGCAAATTAAATAACAACTTTTTAGATAAGACATGGACACAACAGAATCCACTTATCAAGGGTCATAATTTACCTAGAATGGATAACAGCTTTATTGATGTCTGGCACTTTGACCCAGCTAATTTATGTCAGTGATGTGGTGAAATACACATATTAATTAAGAATTGCAACAGTCATCATTTTTGATTTCTTTAAACTTGACAAACCATCTTGACTTTGGTTGAGAAAAAAAGGATGTGTATAGAAAATATATATACATATAATGACAAAAAGCAAGTTTGCCATGAAATGGATACAGTATATAGGGGTGACTCATATTTTGCAATTTCAGACTCATGGCACTAAGCTATATCTGAAGTTTGTCAGGTAATCTCATTTGCAAACAATGTCGATGTATTCCTCTCTCCCAATGTTGTAGAAATACTTGAACATGATGGTGCCACCCAAAAATGAAAATGTATTTTTTGTATTGACATAATCTATAAAGATGGGATTGAAACTATGTATGTCAAAAACCTAGTTTACCCTAGTTTTTATCATATATATAATTTCTGAACCAGGATAAAACCGAATAAAACCTGAAAAACATAATAAAACTGAATGCAATCAAGCCTAAAGAAGAGGACTAATTGTAGATTTAATGGGCAACTGAGATTTACAATTATGTCAAATACTTAGGATAACTTGGCTTGCTTGGCTAATTATAGGTAGAAACAAGCACTTACCATTTTTTCAAGTTCTGCTTCATCTTGTACATCTCCTATCGACACATGCTTGCCACCAATATCTTTAATTCCTGAAGCACCAGACATCAGACTCTTGTTGTTTGAGACAGTAAGAGTTTCATCTCTTGAGGTTCTTCTATTACTACCGCTGCCTCTTGATGGCTCATATTCTTTTGACCGTCTAATATTAGTAGTCTTCTGACTTAAGTCACGACTAGGTCGCCTTGAACCACTAGTAGCAGGGTTGTAGCTGCCTACTGAACTCTCATCTCTGCTGGTCTTGCGTGAAGATCCAGCTTTTCCAAGAGAGTCCACTTGAGAGACCTTTCTAGCAGAACCTACTTTACTTGATACATCATCAATGTGCCTTGACTTATCATTATATCTGCCTGTACCACTGGTCACTCTTCCTTGATCCCTGTTAGTAGAATATTCACGAGTTCCAAAGCTGCTTTGACAAGTTCCAATGTAACTGGAACCAGCTCTATCAAAGCTATTACCTCGGCCCAACCTGCTTGCCATGGTATTGTGGAGGAGTCTTCCACCACCTGAATGGTTTGACTGAGAAGGACCACCTAGGGATCCGTTCTTTGCATTGCGAATGGCAGCTCGAATTTTACGTCTCTCATCAAAATTGGTACATCGATCCAACTGGAATAACAATAGCAACTATCAAATGTTAACCCACACTCCAAAATAAAGAATGATCAAATTTCTTGACCAAGATGATGTAATGAGATTGTGTTACCTCTTCTACAGGTATATCATTTGCAACTCAATGACTGTTACACTCACAGAACCCATAAAAATAGAATATCTTACCTGATCTTTATAACATCAAACACAAAATCTTTCCAATAAAAGTGTGGAAACAAAAGTAATAGTCGCACCTAGAAGTATGCATTCTGTCTTTTACTTTGTAATTTACAACCCATCATAAAAGTGGACCAATGCTTTAGTGCTTACATTTCTATTGACAATTTTTATCTTATACACTTAACATGGAAAATGGGGACAACTGATAGTGACCCATGGCCTTTCACTAGTAGATCCAAGCTTTCTATAATGTGTGTTATGTATCCACAATAATGAATTAAAACAAAATACATGACTGTCACAGAGATATGTTTAACCTCACTTTGCTCAGAACATTTGCATCAAATATAACTTTTTAACAAGCTCCATTAGATCCATCTATACCATGTGCACCATTTCCAACAAAAAAGATAAAATGCCACCGGTGACAGCTATTTATTAATTTTTAAGTTAACTCTAAACAGCAAAGAGATAAACAGACAACTTAATCCACAATTTTAGCACCTTGCAACTGAATTCAAACAATGTTCAATAGTCCGAAGGTTCATTGGTCCGAATGTTCACTAAAGAGCCTTCGTACCAATGAACCCTTAATTAGAAAACTGATGAAAATGTTACCATTTTTCAGACCAATGAACCTTCGGACTATCAAGATGCCCCATAATATCAATCTTTCCTCACAATTAAAGCTTGACTTTTATAACTTTTAGTATAAGAAATGTTAAATTATTATATCATACAAGGAAATTGTCTAAAATCATTCTTATTAAATGGAAATCATTCAAAATAGCATAAAGCAAGACTGCGGGCACTGTGTGATGCCATTTAAGACAAGAAAATGTGCAAGAATCTGGCGAAAAAACAAGAGTGAAACACTTGTGTGCTAGAATGTCAATTTAGGCCCCCATTCCCATAGAGCGTATTCAGGACAGATGATCCATGGCCTAAGTTATCCATGTACAAAATACGGCCAACCCCACTTAAAAGCAAGCCACCTAACCCATGATGGTCTCCTCACCTGCACATGTGCCATTAAATGGATTAAATCTAAGCTCTGAGGTTTTCTTACAAGGCCCCTGCAGACGGTGAGACCATCAGGAGATTACTTGACATTGCTTTTAAGTGGATCAGACTCAACTCATGCACGGACTCTTGCTAAGTGCAATCAGCTTAACTGACTGACGCATCTCCATTTGTTTCCAACATACTCATATAATCACCAGCTTTTCTGTATTCTACTTAAAGTCAGGAGGAGGCTTGTCATTCATTTAAGCTGATTGCAATCAGCTAGAGTCCCCGCAGAATTGGGTCCATCTCTGTCTATGAGAATAGGGCCTTAAAAAGTAACATAAAAGTAACAAGCAAAACATGGATGGTTTGGGGATGTGAGAATGGTGTTGTTATATATAATTGATTTTAAGTCCCACTTAACACCCAGTTTATATGCCTGTTTAAATGTCCCCTTCTTCCTAATAATTAAAACATTCATGATGTGAGCAAACTATGTGACATATATATATAACTTGTCATCTCTAAACATCATGCATTATCAATGTATGCACTCCTAAGTTCACTGGTGTGAGATGATTAGGTTTGCTTATGAGTTACCTCAAGTCAAATAAAGAGGTTACAGTAGATAAGATTAAATAATAGGGCATATGAGCTACAGAAAAAGGAGGTGGGTTTGGTCTACAGGGATCTTCAAGCCCACAAGTAAAAGTGCTGTTTGGAATGATTGATATATACCAATATCAATATCAATAAGGTATTAAGACATTATTTTTAATGAAATTAATAGATGTAATGGAAAGCACTGCTCATGTTGTCTTTAAGTAGCTTGCATGTAGAAATATATCATGACCATACGTCAAACTGTGAGTCCTCAAGATGTTTAAATCTAACTCAACTATAGGAGCCATTAATGTGATCATATATATAGATAAATCCTCTTAGTAACATTTAGCCACACAATAAATCCTATCTAGAAAATTTGATTTATAACAAGACTGTGAGAAACCATCCTGACATTAGATGGAATTGATATCTTTTTAAATCCACAGCCAGAAACAGAGAATGTCATTGTTGGGGATATGTCACCTGCACTGACTTATATGACGCATGGAGTGTTATGGGAACTGCCACTTAAACTCTTCAACTGAAGGATTCGATAAACAAACCTATTTACAATACATATTTATAAAGTCATCTAAAGAAAGCACATAGAAAGGAAATCCCTTGAATAAATAGTATATGTTTGCCTATACTTCCTTAGGGCGAGGAAAAAGTGCCTCATTTAAATAGTACACCAACTTTGGGAGAGGGCACATGAGTACCTTACGGCTGCTTTCAGTGGGCCGATGTCCTTGGCTTAGTTTTTCATGGGTTCTGTTTCTGGTACTTAAAATTAAATATGTGTTAAACAATTTGATGTTTCTCATTATTTCAAAAATATTTCATGTGTAAAATTTTGAAGTATATTATGATGCTGGAAGTGAATGGTACATCACTGGGCCTGGTAAAGTTCTTTATCAACAGACAAAGGTTTATACTGTGATAATACTAAAGGTGCACTACAGTATATGTAGTCACCAGCAAACAGATTATTGCTGCATCTTAATCTGCTTTTTGCCAGTAAATCTATACAAGGAATAATACCATAAAGACAACTTTATATTGATGTGTTCTACTAGCTCCTTTGTCACATTCTGAGACAGATACAATACCATGTTTATGTTTATGACCAAAATTACATTTACATATTCTACAGTTTGTAGGAGAAGATGATGGAATTCCACCTACTCAAAATTAACCCTGAGGATGAAATTTGAATTTAATTAACTAGCGTGAACTGGTGATTGAGCTAAAATAATGCAACCACTAGGGTAAACTTGATTTCTAATCTTTTCATGTAAATTCTTCATGAATCTGCTGTGAGAACTCTACCAAATGGACAGTTTACTTATCATACATTTGAAGAGGAGAGCATTAAAGCGAATAGCAAGACAAGACCATAAGAAAAATTCCATCAGGTGGAAAACACTTGACATGTTTATATTTATGTACTGTAGGTCCAAACTTCAGCAAAAGATTGTAACTGCAGCTATTTGATGCAGTGGCAATTTTTTTGAAGAATTTATAAAATATACAGATCATCTTGGCAAACAGTTTTTTTCAAGAATGAAAAGTAAAACTCCAATTCATATAAAATGTCAATTTTCCGCCCAATTAATTTTGACCACCTAGTGTTGCTTTGAGGGTTGAGTGTAAGCTATAATTATTTGCAATCCTTCAGTGGGGAAAGATATGTGAAAGACCCTTTTTGCTCTCCTAACAATCAGGAAATCTGATATACCAATATATACCCTGTATACCTTCAGATAGGAACGCTAATGCAGAGAACCTATCAAGGTGTCAAATAGCAATTAAGAGAAAGTTTGCATATAACCGATGTCAAAATTTAAGGAAGTTTTGTGATAAAAAATGTTATAGGACTCAAACATGTCATGCTTAATAATCTCCATTTTATCTGATTTATCCAAACTTGAGAACCTACAATGGACGGAGCATATTATGACATTTGTTCAGGCTGTGCAAAATTCAAACACTGGTCTAAGAAGGGACAACAAGACCATCCAAAACATTCCAAAAGTTGATTTCCCTTAAATTTCTGACAAAGTTCACTGAAATATTTACTTATTTGCAAACAAAGTGCCATTTTGGCAAAAACCAATAACTGTGAGGGATGAGAAATTCAGCAACATGTCTTGTTTTGTTCTTCTAAGTGTGACGAAGTTACTCAAAGTAATAGGAAAACATACATGCCATGATAGGGAAAAAAAGAGTAACAGATGAGAATAGGTCAAAAACAAACAATTTTAAGGGGTTTATCTTATTGGAAATGATGGTTAACTCCATAAACACACTTTTTATCTCAAACCACACATTTTAATATTTGTGCACAATAATTGTTCTCTTTTTGCTATGTGCATGCATGTGTACGTGTGTATGCTTGAAAGAAATATTCATGCTATCTGGTTGATCAAATTCTAGTATATCAACTGTTAAATAAATGTCATCAAGCTTAGCTAAAAACAAGTCTGGATGAGATATGCTGTTAATAGTGTCCATTACGGCCATTACGATCCTCTTAAAACATGTTTTCTAACATATCTTTTAATCAAAAACATTTACCAGACTCATATAAAAAAGCAATCCATCTGATATGAATTAAAGAAAACTGTCACAGCATTTTCAAATCTTTAAGGATATTGTTACCCTTTATTATCATCCAGATACCAAAAATGAGTTTTTTCTGTATCTAATTATTCAATAATTCATCTACCTTTATGCTGATTTAAAGAAATGGAAAAAAAACTCTTGAAAAATATAAAATAGCTGCATTAAAGATTTTTCGTTGCAAAGTATAAGCATAGGCAACTCCAAGCTTTAATCTTCTACTTAACAAGACATGCTGAAACTGTCGGTCCGATCGGTCATGACCAGGAAAATTTGTTTGGATCGGTAAAAAATTGGACTTGGTCAGTCCAAAGGACCGACAAGAGTTTTAAGAACCACAATTTTGATTTACAGTTATCGTTCGACTTACTTCACTAATAAAATTATATAAAACCTAAAGCGTTTTTTTCTATTCCATTTCAAACCTATCACATTCACAAACAAAGTAAGCTATCTAATCCTACTGGCAGTATCTGTCTGAAACGAATAGGGTGGTTTTCGGTTCGACAAAAATCCATTTGGTCCGGCAAATTTTTCATTACAGCCGGTCCAAATGTCCAGCCATTCTGAAGAGTTTTAGCATACCCCAGAACAAATTTTGTAGGACGACCACGGGATCATCCTGTCGGTGTTCTGACTGATACTCCGAAATGCGATCTGACATACACCTTGAAAATGGGTAATGTTGTCCGATATAGGGGTTAATTCAGGATCCTTATGTGCTGAGTCTGGTAGTTGGGTAGGCCTGCAGCATGTCTGACTTAACACCTTTCTATTTTGAGGTTAGATAGCAATCCGTATGAGGGGTAACTTCATCCCTAAACAAGATTTCATCACGAAAATTAGCCAGGATTGTAAAGGCTACAATCCCGTGCTGTAATTTTGGTTTAAATGTTTTTGTTATGGAGTTATGAGCCCATAATGATATATTTTCATTAAACATAAGCATTATTTTGCTTTATCAACGATAAAAACTGATCTAAGACTTTTAGGAAAAAATTGCTGGCAGGGTTTTAGTGTACTAAATGGTGTCATTAAATCAGCATTGAAATAGTGATGGTGGGTGCTCAGGTAAAAGAGAAATCTGAGAAACTGATTTTTCAATTTTTACCCCCAAATCGCAATTACGACATCATCTGCAAGATGACATATGAGTAAATGTTAATTAATTTAATCACTGATCACTAAAGATTTATTTATTACCCAAAAGAATGTATGTAAGGCAGTTTTTAAGGAGATTTGGGAGATGGGTGATAATATCCTTTAAGCAAGGAACGAATATTAATACTTAGAGACCACACCCAGACCCTATTGTACTAATTTTGGATCTCCGAGGGGATCTTCGCTTAATTGCAATTAACCTGGTCAGCTTAGATGTCTGTCACGCCTGCTGACGCTGATAGGAGGTAATTAACTATTGTTTAGCAGCTTTATTGGGCATCCCAGACGTTTTAACCCTTGGGCTGAAAGCGATTTAGCGAGGGTCACCATGGAGATTGGCGATCCTGTTAGTTCGATCTAGGGATGGGTACCCAGTCTTAGAGAAGACAGAAGAAAAATATTATATTGTTTGCTCTAGTCAGACTTTGAATATATATTGCTTCCTCTGTAATGATAAACACAATGACACTCCTCTGAATTCCTCCTTGTTATGATAGGTAACTTAAAGGGACCATTCCCACAGATATTTGGATAGATCTTGTCAACTTGACCAGCTTAAATGTCTATCACGCCTAGTAAAGCTGTTAGGGGGCAATTATCTTTACCTCCTAGCTGATTCGGTAGGCGTGACAGACACTTAAGTCCAGTGAGACTCTCCAGGGGGTTAGATCGATCCAGATGGATCGATCTATGCATGCATGGAACCCAGTCAAACTGCTCTTAAGGGGGATCTTTTTTTCGTTATTTAGTTTGGCATCTAGGTTACAAAAGCTCAGGGGTATATATGGATGGTCAGTAGCTATGGTCAGTTGTTAATTGTAACTCAGGGCTTATAAACAAAATAGCCACTTATTCTCTAGAATCGAGTTTCTGATTGTGAATGCTGAATTAACAAATTAAACAGTGACTTCATGGAGCGAACCAAAAAAATGTTTGAAGCACTGCGATGCAAACCACAAACCACTTATCTACCTACCTACTCCTTCACTACATTCTGTATGTGCTGGAGAATGTCTAGAGTGTATTACTCTCATATTGTAAATACTTCAGGTTGAGAAAAAGAACTTGTTTGTAAACAGCAAGAGACACAGATGAAAGCTGGGCAAATTGTTCGCACTCTTTAATGTGATATGCTTACGACCACTACTTTGATATGCACCAAACCACACCCCCTCCCTAGGCCCAATATATACATATAAATTTACCTGAACTTTCTTTCTGACCTGAAAAATATGGCAATAGCCCACTCTTTTTAACATTGATTCCAGTTTTGAGTCAAAATTAGTAACTTATCAAAGTGATGTCCATAACACAACGTATGCACATCAGCACCTATAAGCCCACAGATGGGGTTCAGGTGATTTGAAAAAAATTCTAGTTGGAAAGGGACCGGTTGACTGCTCTGAATCAAAATTTAATTTTGGTTCAATACAGTTTCTCAAGTTGGATCAACTTAGAGGTAAAATTGTCATTTTTTTTTCCAATAAAAGAACATAATGTTGGTTATAGACCTGAACATTCTAGCCAATCATAATTATACAACATTTTTGTGAAGAATGAAACTAGTATAATAAGTGGAAAAATGCATTACACCACAAATAATTATGCAAGATCATAGATGTCTGAAGGAACATGACCACGTCCTTGATCTGGTTGAAAAAAATGCCACCTGTTTCAACATGGAAAAAATGCTCATAGGTTTTATCTAGGATTTTTTGTCAATGTGGTAATTCATATGTGGTTTTATCTACATGCACAGGGATTAGCTCTGCTGCTGCATGGTTTTAACCATGCCCACAAGTACATTGTTAACAATTTTACTTCTCATGAAGGCATCTTGAGCATTTTTAATCTCTCCATTGCGTTGATGTCCCAAGAGCCATTGTGTACACGCATTACAGACAGCGAACCTGTGCTCTTTTCTACTTCTAATGAATGAGTTCTAGTTTCAAAAGCTGACAGTAACATGCTGAAATAGGAGCAACTTATCAGCATAGTCTGACAATTCTACAACTTCTTACCATAGATTTCAGAGCAGTCTCACTCATCCCTGTGTATTCTGACATGATGCCGCTGACTGAGGCCTATCAGGCCCACACACTTGCCACAGACCCTTCAGCGGGACACTACACGCATTTCTACAACTGTGAACACAAAATCCATGTTTGTTGGCTGACCCCATTCATAAAATCAACTCGTCCGCTGTAGGGATGAAGGCTGTCGAGGGCGGTATCTCGTGTTTCTCAGTCGTATTTAATTTTTGCTGTAAACAGTCAGAAGCTTATTTGAATAGCAGCGTATTGAATGATTTTATTTACTTTCATCTGAACAGTAAAGGGAAAGGGATTGGTTAGATTAAATAACACTTTCGATTTAGCAAGGGAAATCTTAACTGCCCTGCGCACGAGAGACCAATAGACTCGCTAGAAATCTGAAAGTGCGCGACATTTTGAAGATAAGCTTGTTAAAGTTATGTTGCGTACTGCACAAAAAGGGCTCGTATCACCAAATGTCAGGTAAAGTAGTTGCTAATGTAATCATATAACAGATGTATAAAATAGGTACGCTTTATAAGGTCAATGTCGCAAAGCGTAGTGATACTATGATGAAATAATCAACCAACCCGGAAATGTATCGGCGTCATAAACATCATGGTGGCTAGTCTCTGTAAATAGTGAATGATACATTTTTAGGGTAGCTCTGACTGATTACGTGTAGATCTACATTTCTGTTCGATCAGTCTCATGTTGTTATTTTTTTCAGACTTATTTATTGATGGGCTTATTTTTCTAGTAAATCAACCAAGAACAATATACTTGAATATACTGTTTTAATATTTTTCTGTGAGGTGAAATTAATTTAGTGGATTGCAGTGTTGATTATTGTGTGTTGTTTTTCAAATACAAAGCATGATGGTGGGCAAAAAATGGTTATTATGATGACACCTTTACAATGCAGCTTAGAAAATCATGGTTGTTTAGATATACTGGTTACATTACGTAATCCACTTATTCCAGGAACTAGGAATGAAAAAAAAAAACATAAAAAGAGATGTTTTTCTTATCGTTATTCAGGTTTATGTAGGAAATATTATATGTATAGATCTTTTCTGTTGACGTCACTAATACCTACTTCTGGACAAGCTTAGAAGCAGGCACCTGCATGCACAGCCCATATCACATTGTATCAACCTAATTAGTGGATGCTGTAGAGGGTTTTAGGTTTTGTTTCCATTTCACAACCAATATTAGATTGTGTCAACCTAATAAATTGATGATGTAGAGGGGCTTTAGCTTTTATTTCCGTTTCTTCAATATTTAGTGACCAGAATATTGTTGGTTTTGATAATTGTTTATTGAAATATAAAATATATGTATGTATGTACACAGGCACACACACACATTTGACTCCTGTAACCTAAACAAATTGTGCATAATTAATAAGAATTTTATATAATGTGGCATAATATATGATGTTATATATCATGTGATAGGCAAATTACTGTAAAGCTAAGAAACATGTTTAACAGCAGTGGACCGAAACTGATGATATGTGTGAACCTAAATGATAGATTACAGTACAATAACTATGTTTTGATCATAAAATTTTAATGCTCAATCCAGAAATATGGTATAGCACAGCTTAATGAATATTTGCACAGTGAAAGCTATTTTTAATTCAGTAACTGGCTTTTACATTTTGACACTTTGATTTTGTCTTAACAAACTGAGCCTCTGAAAAGACAGATATATTAATTCAGCTCTCATTTGGTGCAAGTGACCCAAAACTCTGCCATCAGTAATGTCTGCAACAAATTGATTGCTCACTGACATTTACTACTCAAAAATGGTTTATCTTGTGTGTGTATATATTTTTATAAGCATTATTTATCACATTAATGTATAAATTATGAACAGAACTGGCACTGGTCTTGTTCTAGAATCACATAAATGGTTATTATACAATTAAATGCTTGATAGTTTATCCAACTTAGGGTATATTTAACATTTCCTTTTGTCAATTGAAGTTTGTTTAGCATTTGACTCATGTTTTTTTTTTTTTTTAGCAAGAGCTAAGCCACTAAAAGTGATTTTCTAATTTTTTTACATTCACATCTAGGTAGTCAGATATTGTTAAGTAATAGCATGGTTACATTTGAAGTTAATTCAATATCTTGGGTAACTTGGACAGTTTCATTCTGATGATGATGATGAAATGTCAAAAAAAAATAATAATAATAATTTTTTAAGCAAACTTATCTAAAACCATTTGTGTTACATTTTATATATGTAGAGAGAACATGATGTCATTACTCAGGAAGGAGATTATAGTGCAACTGCTGCAATCTGTGTTATCTAACACAATATCATACATTGAGTTTTCCAAAAATGTGTCAGTTTTAGTGTATTTTAAAGTTTCACATTAAACTGTATCAAGGATATTGTTACCCTTCGCCCAAGGCTCCTTATTTATTGCTTTACATATAATCCTTTGGATAACAGATAAATCACCAATGCCCACTGACTAAATTAATTAACATTAACACATATACCATCTTAAGGGTGATGTGATAATTGAGATTTTGGGGTAAAAACTAATAAATCAGTTTTTTAAATTTCTCTTTTACCTGAGCACCCACCATCACTATTTCGATGCTGATTTATTGACACCATTTAGTACTCCAAAATCCTGCCAGTGATTTTTCTTAGAAGTTTTAGTTCAGATTTTATCATTGATAAAGCAAAATAATGCCTTTGTTTAATGAAAATCTGTAATTAGGGGCTCATAACTCCATATCAAAAGCAAACCAAATTAACAGCACAGGATTGAAGCCTATACACTCCTGGTCAACTCTGCCAATTTTTGTAATAAAGTTTAATTTAGGGTTGAAGGTGAAGGTGTTAAATTGATGATTAAAGCTTTGAGTTGCCTGTGCTTATACATTGCAACGAAAAAAAATATAAACACCGATATTTTATATTTTTGAGGTTTCTTATTGTTTTAAATCAGCACAAAGATGCAATATTGAATAATTAGACTGGAAAAAAATTTCTGTACCTAGATAATAATAAAGGGTTAAAATATCTTTAAGCAGTCCTTTGGATTACTGGAGGTGGATTAGAGGTGGATTACTGCTGAGCTGGTAATTCAGTATGCAGTAGACCATACCCTTTTAAATGATTTAAAACTGTTGAGTTCAGGCATTCCTATTACTGTCCATGAATTATAGCAGAGAACTGTAACAATTTGTTTTGATGGGAAAAATAAGCCAAACGCTATGCAGTTTTCCAACACACTGACTTGTTTGCACTATAGCCAAGGAGGCAAAAGAATCCATAAGTCATCACATCTAATTTAAGTTATTAACTTAAACTGCTAAAAGCCACATCAGAGACTATTTTTATAAAGCTATACACTGTCTGGGGCTATCTCTACCAAACCTCTAGACCAAAAATTGGTCCAAAATGTTAGACCAAAGTTTTGGTCTTCCCTAAGGGTGCATTCCCATAGATTTAGATTTAGATCGACCTAACTCCCTGGTGGTTCATGCTAAATTGCAGTCAGCCGAGCGCGCACCATAGTTAATGACCCCCTTACAGCTTTTAGTAGGCGGGACAGACGCTTAAGCTGGCTAAGCTGACAGTAATCTATTGAGACTCCCCACAGGGATCGATCTATCGATCTAAAATCTATGGGAATGGGTCTTATTCTGGTGAGATATACAGTAGCTTAAAAACAACAAATTTGTTGGTTTAAAACAGATGTTTCTTGTTATAAAACAGGTCTTACTTGTCATTTGATTGCATAACTGATTCATCCCAAGTCAAAATAGGCTTTAGTTTTATTCTAAAAGTTTAGACCAACTTCTGGACTGAAGTTCAAGGGTAAAATAGGAAAAGTATAAATAGTAAGTCATTCAAGATAAGTCATTAATTGTTTTAAGCATTTGTTTTTCTGTCCAAGTACATTTTAGTTTAACCAGGAACTGTAAAAATTGAAATCTAATCACCTGGACGGCTTGTGAAGAAAATAAGGTATTTCTAACTCTATAACATTACCTCTGCCAAACCAGTATCTGACAAGTACAAGTGGTGTGTTTTACAGCCACTCATTTTTCTGGGTCTCACAAAAAAAATTTTTGTCAGATTTGTCAGTGCAGTTTACTTTGTGCAAAATATAGGGGCTATGATGCAAATTGTTCCTAATAAGTAAAGTGCAATTCTGAGCATTTTCTCATACAGGTGCCATCAGTTGTGCAAAGTTGTTTTTAGGAAGAGTCAGTATTTAGGCAGTTAATTTTAAGATATTGTATGTTGGCTCATCCATCAGATGCATGCAACCTTTGGGATTTGAAGAAAAGACTTTGATGTATTCCCATGGTATTTTATTATTTAAAATTTTTAATTGCAGGCTCAAGCTGTTCAATAGAATACTGCGGAGAATAGTGTGAATTCAGCTCTAGGCTACACAGGATAGCACACAGTTAACTGTTCAGTCACCAGACTGTTTTTCAGAGCTGCAGGTGAGCAGTCAGTGCTATGGTTACATTTTCTAAAAGACTATTCAGTTGGAAAAACATATATCAATTTATGTATTTGTGTTATTTCTTTTGTGAAGTCTAGCTTCATAGTCTTTATGCTGTTATTAAAATTGCTCATTGCACATGGCAAGAATAACAGACCCCAAGAGACATTAATATTTAAAGGATTTTGTCATTTGGAAGCTGATCTGTTCTGATTTAAACAAAATATCAGTGAATTTTTTTTCAGTTGAAAGAGTCATTTTTTTTTCAAAATTGAATGGGATAATTGATTGATCCATTGCATCACCAGCTTAGACAATGCAGGTATCATGGATATGGCCTGAAACTCGTGTTTTGCCATGTGCATCAGATCATAAACTTTATTGCATGTACATCTCATACAGTAATCTATATAGATTGATTCAGTACATTATGATGTATATTGGTAATGCCTTCTTTATTGGGTATCATAGTTGTAACCTTTCAACTCTTTTTATTTTTTATTTATTTATTTATTTATTTATTTATTTATTTATTTATTTATTTATTTTTTTTTTTTTTTTTGACTAATTTAAGGACAGCTACTATTAGACCCCATTCAGGTTCAGACATCATACCAGCTGGGTTGATCCAATTCTGTAAAAGTGCAGTCAGTGTTTTAAGCTAAATTGTCTGAAACACGT